GTCTTCCAAAACAGAGAATTTACGAGGACACTCCGAAAGAGTTCACAAGTCCAGGACAAATTACTTGTCAGTTGACTATCAACTTTCCCATCAAATCATCAACGAGTGGAATTCATTACCTCAGCACGTGGTTGAGGCTCCATCCGTCTACTCTTTCAAAAGAAAGTTGGATCAACTGAGAGAACACCATTGCCGGGACTAACACAGGCCATCAAGCCCCCTGTTCTTTCCAAATTGGAACTGAACTGAAACTGATTAATGAGTTCATTTTTGAATTCCTACTGCATTACAAACTGACTCGGTATAAGTCCAAAGTAATTCGGGTCAAACACGTGGAGAAAACTGAACGAGCAATCGAAGTTAAATCACAAATTTCTGGCACTCATATCTCCTTTCTGGTCACGGAACTCAGCAATAAGACAGGCAGTGGTCACGTCATAAAATATTGTATAAAATAGTTTGTGAAGATAAATAACGTTTAATCTGGAAGACAAAATCATCGATAGATGGTCGATTCTTACCAACAGCAAGCATATACTATATAGGTATATGTGCCTTGTGGCTATCCTGGTAAACCGATATGCCAGCAACTAAAGTTTATGACAAAGTAAAATAAACTAACACAATCAGTAAAAAGCCAAAGATGTAATAGGTATTCAGAACTTGACAACGCCTTTTACGTAACACCTTTAAAATCAAGTTATACTAACCCAGTCAAATCAGAAATCGGAAATGTAGAGGTTTGAAGACTTATTTAGAAAGCTGTCGATGTGTTGACACGCGTATGGTCTAAGCTGACTAGCGGTTGCAAGGGATGAGTGGCACAGCGTACCTACTCGTGGTTTGGTGTAGATGCGTGACCAAGTGCCTTCATTTAGTATGTGCTCATTAAAACTAACGAGGTTAGCATCAATGTCGAAGATTTACGGAAATATTTATCTGGGGGATTTATTTACCTCTAAGAAAAGCTATTCAGTTAGAGTGATGCAATGAGAAAAACAGAATTGTAAGCAGGAGTGAAAAATTACTTGCTCACTTTGAACCGAACTTGAATGAGATACACAGAAATAAAGGTAACTTAGCATCTGCGGCACACCAACGGTTGCTCTCTACTGAAATGAATATATTGAGGGATTCTGAAGCACACGCGAACATACACTTACTGAAAGAGTTCAACACTACTACTGTAGTGAAGGAAAACAGGTGAGGACAACCGAACTATATTTAGCACATAATTACAGAGTTACTTGGTAAAATAGAAAAACCATACTATAATACCTAGTTTGCAAAATGTTCAATAATTGTCTCAGAGTTCATTGTTCTTGTATTTCTACACTAATTGCTTTCTATTCCCGTTCTTCCTTTCTTGATCTTCCCAATCTTCTGCTGCCAGAAATTACATTTTTGACTCGCGTTATATACTACTTATGTCAATATAAGTAACACGCACCACACTACTATTCGGAAAAGCAGTAGAGAAATTATGAGACATAAATGTACGAATATATTCATATAGCAATTACAAAATTAGCACCAAAGCTGAACATGCAGCCCTGAAAGTCCGAGTTGCTTTAATAATAGCATAGGCTCGACCAGCTCCAAGCACTTTAAATACGGGTTGACTGCCTTGAAACTTTTATCACTACTGATTATTGTCTTTTGCTATCATTGTTAAATGTAAGTGTATTGTGTGTTCTCGATGGGTCATCGGCACAATTTTTCCAAATTCCCCTTACCCTATTCTAGATGTCATGGGTAACTTCTAAGAAATATTTATGGACCATTATTAAATATATATTCTTCTTGTATAACAATTAAGTAACTAGATTACATGTATCTATAATTCTCTTATTTAAGATTTCGTTTGACCTATTGGGTACTATTATACAACTTATTATTCTCAAGTTATCCCCAATCTATTAGTCACACTATCTCACACTCAGAACCATTTCTGACTTCATCTTGCACATTTGTTATTTCCTATTTTATGGCATAATGCGATCTGATTTGCTAGTATATAAACTGTATATGTTTGAAATACACGATTCCTACCGTAGGAGCTGAGCTTGTGTTCCGGACTCAAACGGGCAGGGCTAGGCAAGGAGAACTAATAAGGACTCAGAGATTGACTTTAGGCTGCTCGTACTGGTTAATGCGTCATTGGTTTGGCACAGGGCCAAAGACGTATAGGTCGGTGACCCAATTTGAGGTTTCGTCACGTGTTATTTGACGGGCCTTAAGATCATGACAATTATTTATTGTAAGCAATAACTTTGCCTATTTCACAATGTATATGGGCAGGACGTCTGCCGTTTACTAATACGATATTTACGGGAAAAGTTCGGGATTTCCTTTGTTTAAGACTAAGGTACTGTAGATATTGGTGAGACCCTATTCCGAAATCAAATAAATTTGAAGTGCGAACCAGGAGATGTGAAGAGTATTCGAGTATTTCTAGAGCGTAATTAGACATGGAGTTTGTAGGATTCTTTATACTAGATAAGATAAAAATGCCAATATTTGTCGTGACAAGTTGGAACGCATATCTATGTCGCTTGTGAAGACAATCCAAAAATGTTCAAACACACGTAAATCTTTTTGTATTGCCCCGTGAATAAATTTCTAAACAGTTTTCTCCCGTCTCACGGTACTAACCAAAAAATTACACATGAATATGCACACACTTGGGAAAGGTGGAAAATCATAAAGTCAATCCAGATGACGATGATTAGTTTTTTAGTGACGTCCACACATTAAACTAAGATAAAAGAAACTTTACTGACTGATTGCGTCCCGTTCGAGTCGAAAGGAGAAGATATAGAAGACTAGAAACGAAGTGGACTAATCAAGTTAGCAAACAAAGAAATCCACTTCGAATACCACAAAACATTGAAAGCACTGAACAATGAAAAAAAGACATATGAACTCCCTAGCCATCGAAATTTTCACCTCTAAAGGTGACATACTTTCAACATTATCTATCGTATTCTCCCAATAGGATGCGAAAGTGCCTTCCATATGATGTTTGAGTTAGTAACCCAGGCCTATAAATTGCACGAAATGCTTTAATATCATTGCATCACAGACAATTAAAATTTACCCAAAAAAATCTAATAATTTTCAACTTTTCATTTTTATATACCATATATTTCTTAAAATACTTTTATAGTTAACCTTTCCTACTTCCCATATTCTATGCTTTAATATTTATGTAACCTTGAATGTTGATAAATGTTCTTAGTTGGTTACATAAGCACCTTGTTAGAAAACAAACACGTCTATAGAAATCAATCAAAGTAAGAGATAATTCTTTTAAATATTTATTAATATTGCCTTGATAAACGAATAGTAGATCCACTATTAACTCATATTTTTTATATTTCAATTGACCGCGTTAAATTAACAGAATGAAATGTAAATATCAATTATATCAAACATAAAGAGAAAAAATCATTTAAATTAAGTATATTTCTTATAATCTTTAAGAGTTTAACACTGTTGTTGAAAAGAAGAGAACAAAAGAATAAATTTCATGATATACAAGGCAGCAACAACAACAAAGAAGATATGACTTGCAAAATATAAAAAAAATTACTTTGATTTTGTTTTCAAATAATCAAATGGACAAAAATTACAAGATTTAACTTCTTTGATATTGGGAATAAAATGGAAATGATAAAAGGAAACAATGTATTGATTATGTTTCTCATTTACTATTGATTATTTATTTGTTCAATAAAATTTATGTAATTGAATAGATGAAAGTGTAATTTATTCCTTAATAGGAAATAAAATCATAACTAACAATGTTTGATGATAAGTGAGTTAAATACTTATCATGAGAATAAGTTTAAAATAAAATAAAGATATTCTGTATTAATGAGTATAGTAATGGTAGTAGTAATAATAGTAGTATAATGTCGTTATTGAAAACAGGATTAGTGTATATACACACAAATGTATAAAAAGCACACGATCCACGTGTGTACACATTGATACATATTATATTTAAACAAAAAGAAAATATTTATTGATAGTAAACAGTATAAACAATGGTTGTTTATTTTTAGGTGTATTCATGCATTTTGTTCTTTTCAAAACAAAACAAAGAAAAACAGGTTGCTAATTACCACGTACACATACAAAACAATAAAACAAAAATGAAACGCATTTTTCGAGTATAATACAATCATGTCTATCTTTTTAAATACAAATATTTGGAAGAAATTGAATGATTTAAAATGGAAGGCACATAATGTTTAAATTTTAATGTAGAGAAATAATTAAAACAAAACAAAAAGAAGTAGGATGTTCTTCGAAAAAGAGTAATAAATTAAATTAAATATGATAAAATACATACACGCATACATATACAAACAAAAAAGATACACGAGCATACCTGATGCAAAAGAGTTTGTGTATGTACGTGTATAACATGGTGATAAAAACGCCAAAAGCAATGTCTATTTCAAACAATTGTAAGTGATATATATGTATAGAGGATGGGCTAAAGACATAATAAGTCTTGAAAATAAACAGTGTCACAAATGAAATGCATGTTATTAAAAAAAAACGTTATACAGCACACATACATACACACACAAATATAATCTAGATCGAAAACATATCCATCTTCCTATTCTGATTATCATTATCATACAATAAAAATAATGATTTTTTATGACGGGGTTAATCAGATATCTGAAAGTTAATCAACTCATTACTGATAAACTGGATATTAATTTCTTTTTTTGAATAAGTGTTTGAGATGGTATTCCAAGAATATTGCCTACTAATCTTAATCATCACTAGAGTCGACATATCCACTTGAAGTGGTTGACTTCTGAGAGTCATTACGACCAATATTTGTTGTTATCGTGGTATTAGTGTTAGTAATAATATTTGTTGTTGTTGTAATAATAGTAGAAGGATCAATAGAAGTGGTAGTTCCAGACATAAAAATACCAGGACATGGTGATACAACATCAATAACATCGTTATCAATGAGTAAATCATCGTGTAAAGACGGTGTCTTATCTAACTGATTGTTTTGATCCAATGAAGCATCATCAAATATAGAAGCAACGCCCACGAATTTAGGAGTTGAAGTGTCTGAAGTGGAAATAGTTCCAGATGATGTTAAAAGATCGTTATGATTTTCTGATATTTCTTCCACTGTTTCATCGTTGTTCACGTGATCATCATCAATATCATCAATTTCTTCTTCATAATAATAATCTTCATCTTCATCTGTGGCAGATGGTGCACATCCGCTGTCACGAATAACATTCACTGTTTTCTGTTCCGCATCATTAGATTTTGTGATATGATTTGAGAAATAGCTTTTGGCATTTTCCAACACATCAGACACAAGTTGTGCAGCGACTGAATTCAAATCTAAAAAAATAAGTATACAGAAATAAACTTCACATTTTACAAGCAGAGGGACCCTAAACGCGCGTGTCGTCCTATTTGTAACTCGTTATCAGGATGTACCTGCATCCCAGAGTTAATGTTCACTCCGGGACTCGAACCCATTACCGTTCGCCTTAAACGTTATTGCGTCATCCACTTAGCTACTGGGTGAAAATGACTACTGGCTTGTGCAATGGCGTGAAGTTTAATTCAGCTTTGTATTGGTTGCTTGAATCTTTCCATGTTTGTCTAGGAATACAATTGGTCAGTTTCGTATTGGCATATGTCCATCCTGTGAGGATTGACTCGATATTGCCTTAAGTCACGAGCATTATAAGCAGAAATGGATGATGGCTATCAGAGAAATCTAGGAGGTGCGTTCCGTCTTATTTGGGATTCGTCAGCGAACGGTACTGAGTTTAGTCCCGTGTAGAGTAGAGAGTATAGATTATTTAAGAGTCATAAACTAGGATGAAACATCTGTTCAGTACTTTATAGTTACTAACAGATGTTGATGACGAGAACCCTCTTTACAAAACTTCACTTGTAGAAAAATAAATACAAGTACCTTGATCTGAATTATTTACAGATAAATCAAATCCACTGTGCAATGCATCCGACTGTTCAGTGGAAAGTGTGTCCAGTTTTAATGTGTCAGTTGCTTGTGAACAAGACAAATCGATGATAGAGTTCGCCAATGTTCTAACTTCTTCATCTTCAACTTCATCAGTACTCCCACTGACCGGACATTCAGCATCGCCAACTTTAGTCCAATGAACTTGCGAATCGATTTGAACAGATGGTCTTGATAAACTTTTTCTTGAACTAGTAGATTCTTTTAATAAATTATTCGGCGATGGGTCTTGATGAATTAACTAGAGAATAAAATAAAAATTTAAGTAAACTAGAAACTAACTTGATTAGGATAAAAAATGTAACTTTAAAACGAACTTAACACGCGAATATTCCTTAATACGAAATAAGACATCATAAGAAGAAAAGTGATAAATCAGAAACATAAATATGACCTTGTCTATAGTTAGCAAATGATATCTCAAAATCATTTAACAGTCAATTCGAAAAAAGATGTTCTCCAGGTAGAAGACGAAAAGAATTTTGGAAGATGAAAACAAAGTAATGACCAACCCATGCACTGTGCTTTGGTGAAAAAATACGCTCCAGTTATTTTTTTAAAGCAACATCAACATGTCTAAGAATTCATTACGTATCTGCGCTTTCACTACCTTAATGGAAGATTTAGAGCAGTCATGAAGGATAGTATTAAAATATAAAAAGAAAACAAAAATGAGCCTCATGCTTCCGTGAGAATGTAAGTTTCACCTACAAAAATGATTCAGTTATTACAAAAGATTTCTTCAAATTAAACTAGGTGGTACGAACTATTATTCTAACTTTGGGACGTTTGATTTTTATTAGAGTCATACTAACTACTAATAAGTAATTTAAGATTATAAAGTAAAATATACGGAATTTTCAATGTACTACGTTCAATCTTTGTAAGCGACAAACGTAAAATAGTCTTAACTTTAACATACACACCTTAAACTTAACTCATAGTTATAAAGAGCAGAAACTGGTGCTACATCTTTCTAAACGTGTCTTACATGTTGAACACGAAGTTAATAAACAACATACCTTGCACAAACACATGACAGATTTTGTAAATACTGGAGCCATTGTAATCAATTCTTTATTCAATAAGTTATCAAAGAAAGTGAAATCTAAATTTGAAACAGGACCTGCTTCAGACTTCCTTGATCTGCATTTGGATTTTCGTTTGTCTTGAATCTCGATACGACTACGTTCATTATCTGAACCGACTAGGTTTGGTGAAGAATGTGTAGCTTTGGAGATGGAGTCATCTGGTTGAGCATCGATAACATTAAACCGAGATCTTTCTGATTCACTACTACCAATTACTTTATTGCTTCCAATATTCAGTACAGGGTTCCGGCTAAGTGACTCTAGATAACCTTCTGTCCATGACAATGAGCTTTGTCTTTTCTTCTGCCGCATTAACATATCGAGTTGTTGATGACCTTCATCGTTTATAGATTCAAAATGATTTTGTATTTGATTTAGAAAATATGTTGAAGGTTGTGGAGCAAGAGTTCGAGTTATTAAATTGTAACATTTTGCGAAATATTTTATCTGGAACAACAGGATTTTTCCAGGATTCAGGATATCATTCACGTCATCGCCCTATGAACCAAAAGTCAGACGGGATGAATGTAAAGAAAATAAACAATGTTTAATACAACTTTGAGAAGTATGTTTTATTGTATAATGATTATAACTGAACTGTCAAGTGATATCAGACTCATTATTAAGAATGGATAGAAAATAAAATAAAATTCCGCATAGAAATGAGCCCGCTCAAGTTCTTGCACTAATTAAAAAGACAAATATAGGTGAATAGGATATTTTATTAGCAGTAAGGTAAAAGTTAGAGTAGATCATCAGCTCACGAAAATAATTTGGTAGATGTAATTCAAAGTGACGGGCGTCCTTTGACCACTTACACAATATTGAACAGAGTTACCACTATAGATTATGATCACTTTCTTTTCATGAATTCCTTAGCGTAATAATCTTACCAAATTTTCACATTGGTTACATTGGTGTACAATAATTTTTGAAAACATGTTGCAGTGACAATTCAAGAATACAGTTTTATAGAATGATAGAATTAATCATCACCAACGTGAATGAACAGAAAATACACTTGCTCTCATTAGTAGTTTATATCTCACCGAGCCACACGAAGATCAAAGTACCTGATCAGTGATCACGGAAAATGATTACTGAGCAAAAACACAAGTCAGTCATAAACAACGCGAAAATCTGTCACAATTATGCATCATTCTGAGTTTTCACACTATATAATCAAACCGTATGGGAATATGAAGATGAATATCATAGTAAAATTAGTAGTAGTATCAGTGATAGTAAAAAGAGAAGACCCAGAAATGCGAATTCATCTAGTAAAAATTATTGCATAATTCTGCGACTCAAGATGCATCTGGGCCACATTTCAGCGATTCTGAACCATGTCACACAATGTATCAAGATATTGAAAGTCCCATAGACCTCATAAACGTATTCTAAATCAAGTAACATGACTCAGATGAATAGTCTATGACTTCAACGACTGTCAGTCAAATCTGAAGAACCTATGACATGTGTACATTGGTTCAAGTTGTTAGACTTCATTAGCACAGCAAGATGAAATTGTCAAGCCAAATCCCAGAGTAGTGGAGGCAATAACAGTAGTAGTGGTAATCGAAAAGACTATGCGTCCAAGATACGAATCGACTAAATTTAAATTAGTAAAATAGATTTCAAAATTTTACGGCAAAGACAAGGAGTGAATGCAACTGCAATATTGCGTACGATTCCGAGTCATGTCATTCATGTCATTACGATAATCATGCGATCCACAATTACGTAGTTGGTACCTACCTACAAGTGTCTGAGTCCAAGAAACAGTCTTTGTGTGTTGGTTTGGCTACCTATAGCTTTCTTCCAACTTATTCCTACAATAACTGTCATTGCAGGTCGAGGTAGTTGGTGTATGAGCCCACGTAATTCAGGTTTTAGCCATCTCAGTCAATAAAGATTCCCTACTTCGTCAATAGATTTGCAATCATTACATTGTACTCTGTGTCTGACCTCGAAATCAATCAAGATATTCGATCGTAAAAGTAAATACGTACTCTTTGTAAAATATTTATACACAATACTTGAATTACTAAGTCTAGTTATAGGTCTACTGTTAGAAACCTATGTATGTTTCAGATTTTTCAACATAAGAGATTTGTAAAACATCCAGTCCCATTCAGTGTCTGTGTATGGATGCACAATGATGTTTAAGTACGATTATTTCTAGCGCATGCTATTCATAATTAAAAGAAATAAGAAAACTGTGTTTGATTTACAGATAAACTAAAAAGACTGACAATACAAATTTAGGCTTAAATATTGTTTGTTTAAATCTGAAAAACAAACATTCGCATTTATTTTCAGTATATACTATTTGTCAAGATGAAGAGAAAGTCAGAATATATAAACATGTTTTTTTTCCTTTTCAGCATTCACTCGAATAAGATTAATTCAATGACCACCACCATGGTATGAGAATAGGATTGGCTAATAAGAAAATGCAAATATTGTAGTCAGAGATAAACGACTAACTAAATTCTATGTATTATTTTCTGCAACACACACAGAAAACGAGTAAAATATTCATTGAGATGATACTGTAGTGAACGAGAACACATATGTGGGCAACTAAATGTTTGAACATAAAATTACCGAAAGTCTCAGTAAAATCTGAGAACTATACAGTAAGTACTTCATTTGAAAAATGTCCATTAATTGTCTCAGATTTGACTGTCCAGATCAATTACTTTCCGTTCTCGTTCTCTCCTCTTCGATCTTCTCAACCCTCTGCCTCCAGAAATTCCACTTTCGATTAGTGATACATACTACTTATATCCATTGATATTAGTATCACACATCACAGTACCACTTAGAAAGAAATTTCAAAAACTAGGTCTCAATAATTAGAATTAGTGATTGAAAAATTCTCATATCAGTCAACTACCCATTAAGATTCTCTTAATGGGTTTTGTAAACGTTTGAAGAAAACAGTTCTATCCTCAGTATCAACGATTTATTTAACTGTAATCAACTATGTTCAAACTTTTTGTTTAAAAAACACAATCATATGTACGTAGAAACATAGAAACATGTAACAGCATATAAACATTTATGTAATGAGAGTTGTCAAAAAACTTTAATAGTTTCAATAATATAATTTACCTCATTCATTGCATTAGCTAATTCTTCTTTAGATATATTATATTTTTCACAAATAATTTGTTGTGTTTGTTCTAATAGTTCATCTTGAAAGAAAAGAATTGTTTAATAAAACAAAATAAAAAAGAAATTAATTAATTACTGAACTTAAAAATAATTGAATCATGAATGATAACTATAATTTCATTTATTAATAAGATGACAAATTAGTCAATATGAAACACAATAAGATAAATTAATGATGAAGGATGACAGTGAATCAATGAATTTCTATTCAAAGTTCAAGTTTGATCACATTTATGACCACTGATCCTTTATTATTCTTTTGGAAGAAAATAAATTAAATTTGTTTGAAAACAGGATAAGGAAAATGACAACGATGACAATGATAACTGAATTTGTTCATGTTATATATTTGACATTTTCCTATCTCGTTAGTTAAAGTAGTCAATCAATCAACCAATCATTGTGATTATGACATAGATTATAATTAAATCAAGGAAGAAAGCATAGTTTATATGTATGTATAATGTGGAGATAGTTAAATTTATTGTAAAACTTATACTTTTTCTAAACACTAGTTGGTATCAATCTAAGAATATGACAGAAAGACATGGGAATAATAAAAACCTCGTTATATGGAGATTTTCAGTGATTTGAAGATAGTTTTAATCCAGAACTGTTAGAGAACTATATCTGAATACATACATAAACTAAGAGTATATACACAATCAAACGAGCTATAACACAATAAAAATAGAATATCACTAGAATTTTGAAGTAGATAATTTTACATCATGTTCACCATGAAACGTCACTGATCACCCTACTCTACGTCCACTATATATCTATCTGTTTCTTTATGTTGCTAAGTTTTATTCTCGCATATTAAAAGCATGTGAATAAAAGAGATTAAAATTTTCATTTTGATTTTAACCTATTTACAGTGTTGTTATTCCATAAAATTGTAATTTTATGTGTCTGTACCCAATCTGAATTACATGCCAATTTGACAATAATTCATCATATTTATAAGTTCATATCGATTACTATGCGCCTTTCCATCGCTGGTTAATAACACAAACATGAATGGTGATGGTGATGATGATAATTTAAAGTTATTGTTACAATTAAAACTGAAATAAATAAACAAAACTGGTCTACGTCATTGATGGTTATCGTAATGATGATAATTAACTATAAATGTAAATAATAAATGTTAAAAGATTAAATGTCTTCATTCTATTACAGATACAAACACACACACATAGCAATACATATTACTAGTTGACAAGAATCGATCGTAAAATCCTTTATAAATACATTTATAATCGAATTTGGCAAGTTTGAGTGTCAAAATAAGAATTTGATGTAGTAACTACGTGTAAAACATGATAATTCAAAAGCTACTCGGTGTTGGTCAGGATATTTTGAGTTTTGACAACAAGCAGAGATAACGATCAAAGTCAGAAGAAATAAATCCTTCGATCAATATAACCAGCGTACATGAGCAAAAGTTGTTTATTTTCCGAATTCGTTAGGAGTAGGAACTCCAATATCAGTGTATCAATACAAATGTGACTCGATAAATACATTAATGTAACATGGGTTGCTTGTTTTATTATAAAGAATATACATTTCTGATCGACATAACTAATTAAGAACACATCTTTTATTATATGATTAGCTATGAAATCAATAACGAACAGTTTTCATTGCAGAGTTATACGGTAATCACTTTGATAAAAAAAATTACCATTTCTTATAGTGCATAGAGTGAAGTGTATATTAAATAGGAATGGATTCCTCTCTATCTCTTTTATTTCAAAACAACTTTTATATATTCATCCCTTTATTATTTCTCTTCGATTTCAAATTATCAGTTTGGATCGGTTCATATTACGTTTTATTTACATTAAATAAAATAACCAGATTCCAATTCTATAAATAATTAGTACATGAGTTTTATGCTAATGAATCATTTAACTATACTTTAGAACTAGGTCAGATAAGCATAAATTATTTGTTTATAAGGTACATTTATGTGCATGACATAAAATACTACTGAAATAACCTTTAAAACGCATACCTATATCGTATTCACAACTTCAAATAATAATCGATAGAATTCAATTAGTAAGCAGTAATTTTATTTAGCCATCGTTAGATAATAAGTGTCATGAATAAATGCTTCATAAAATAGGAGATGAAGAGAGACAACTATTAATTTAGAGTAATATTGAACCAGCAATGAAAACTGACTTAATGAGTTGATCTTATCCATAACACAAATGATCAGAGACATCACATTTCAACAATCCCTATTCTATGGGAATAAATGTCATAATTCCGTAATGCAATTTTGAATAGAATAAAATTAAGTTGGAAAAATAGTTCGAAATGGGAAGAGAGTGAATGTTAATAGTGCATACATACAATCATACACAGGAGAATCAAACTGAGGATCTTGACCTCTCGAATTAACTTCAAACTAATCAGTGGCAGTTCTGCAGCACACATTTTAATCTTTATTCATTAGTGAAACATATACATATATCATAAAATATCACTGGTGGAATTTATTTCGCTCTTGAGATAAATTAAACTGACCAACCAAAACCTTTTACTATAAAGTAATATACAGGACGAAGAGTATGAATAATGAAATTACCAAGAAAAAATAGACAAAATGATAAAACGTTGAGGAAATCGTTTACTAGATGTTGCCTCACACTTCATTAAACTGGAATTTCAATCACTTTTGTTTAGTGTATGGAAAACATGTCTAGAAAGAGTATGATTGAATACTATAAACGACCTCAGTCAATCTCCACTAATCAAATATGAGAAAAGTATTAATTATTCATAATCTACATAATTTTATATGCATATTAAAGTCATGTTTGGTGAAGATCAAACTAAGAACGATATTGCTCGTTTATATTACTTGACTCGACTAATGTGTAGATAGCAAATTCTTAGTATTATATAAACATTATCTGGATCATGGTGAAGAAGTGGACTTTAGTAATATGTGTAATAATAATAATAATAATAATAATAGTAACAATAATAACAGTGAAGGTACTAAGTTTTATTAAATCATACTTATAAAACTCAATTATAATGATACAATTATGTCGAATATTTATAATTTTAAAAACACTTTCATTAAGATTATCATTGTGACTATTTTACAGAATCATATTTTGATTATTGTAAATTATTACTTTCACACATGAATGCATATCACAATAACCACATGGTTAAAATGTTTTTCACATCACTATTTACAGTAAATAAATATGCGTGCAACTGTATTATTTAAAACAAAGGAAATGATTATTTTTATGTTTTCTTAAACAACTTGATTAATGTATAAAAACCAACTGATCCACAATATATATTGCGTAACTTTATAGTTAACCATCCTTATTCCTACTAATTAACATCAAAGTGAAGTGAAGAAATAAACCGAAACTAACAATGAACAACCAAAACGGAATTCGTCGTCATCGGCGTCATTATTACTATTAGTTTTTTTAGTTTCTGTTAATAATTTACTTAATGAGAACTATTATTTTGTAAAAGTAACAGACAGAGATTGTTAGTAAGAAAAGAAATTAAAGTGAGAAAGTATTGTGTACAATTACATAAATATATAAATGGATATAAACATAGACACTGGGTGAATAGGACATAAACATGTGTTTATATTCGATTAGAGTATTAACAATAGTTAATTTTGTTTCATCACATTAAAAAAATAATAACAAAGATTTTAAAATAAACAAAACTATTTACTTTGATGAAATATGTATCGCTTTAATTATAATGTGAATAAATGAAAGGAACAAGTGAAACCTAACAAGTTTAACTTTGTTTTAATTAGGAAAAAATCAATAATTCGTTTTTAGTTGACCAGTTAGCAGGAAATTACTAATACTGTAGATTATTGGTTTTCAGTTTCGAACTAGTTCAACTTATAAACTGGGTCCGAATACTGCTCTATCTACATAGATAGATAGTATTACTTTATCGTACATAAAAAATGTGACTGTTTCTTCGAAATGGTTGTTGAATTGTACATCACAATAAATTCCGAGTCACTTACTGTCTATTCAATATCGTGAAAGTTATAACATAGCATGTTTATGGATAATTCATTTGTGATGTAGTAGGGTTTATTCTACAGATAATATTTCTTGTAAGAAACTGTTTCGCTAATCTTAATATTAAATGGGATACTGAAGTGTTGGAGTTGCTGTGACCTCTGAGCTGGATGAACTAGCTATGAAGCTTCCATTGTTCTTATGAGCTATAAATATACTTTATCATCTTAGAAAGGGATACTGAAATCTTAAAATTTATATTGACTATAATCATTAGGAATCTTTTAAGGTGTTTTCCCATTTTTAATCGTCCAGTCAATTCTATCCTATTGAAACATAAAATTGAAATTAAGTAGTATGCCAAATAAAGTTAATGTGCTTCTATTACATCTGAGCATATTCAGAAAAAGTCACTGGAATAGTGAAATACTAGTTAGCTACAAATTCTGTTGAAAGTCGATTGATCCGAAGATATTTTTAAAATACTGTGATTAGTGTTAAATACAAGAACATCGATGCTCTAGTGAGAGGTTATGAACTGTGAGATGCATCGGAATTATATTATCCTTAAAATATTGGCAATGCTGAAAATAGGTAGCAACTGAGCTTTCGAAGAATAAACTGCAAATGATGTAAGGTAGTATCTCGTTTATTTATGACACAGTTAAACATCTATCTGTAAAAGAAAATCTGGAAGATGAGTATGAAGTATTTGAGATATACTTCATTAATAAATGAGTACTGAAAAATGCAATATTGTCTAGACCCCCGGTGCTACTGTTATATTCACACATTACCCAGATCTTAAAGTACAGTGATACTTACTATTAGTTTTGTTATATCCTAGTGAAGATTAAATTATGGGTAACTTCTGAGAACTATTAATGGACTAATATTATATATATATTCTTATTGTATAACTACTTAGTAATCAGATCATGTATGAATATAGTCCTCTTATTATACGCTTCATTTTGACTTATAGATTATTATACAATTTACTATTTTTAAATTATACTCAGTTTATTAGTCATAGTCTCTCAAGTTCACAGCCACGTTTTGGCTTGACCTTGTATAAATGTTACTTCCTATTTTATGGTGTGATGAGGTCTGTTTGGCTGGTATATAAACCAAGTATGTTTGAAATAAATGATTCACATAGTGGAAGCTGTTATTGATGTTTTGAACTCAACTGGAAGGGCTAGGTGAACGAAGGACCAATGAAGACGCTAGGCTGTTCATACCGGTCGGGCGTCATTGGTTTGGTACAGTCCTAAGATTGAATAAGTCGTATTTCGATTGGCGAATAAATCACGTGATAATTAGCCGGGCTGAGGGTCACAATAAGTTTCCTATTAATTTAGCTTGAACAGTATATGTAAAGGCGGAAATATGATGGATTCATCATATTCTGCAAACATGCTTTTTCTTGTCGCACTTAATTTCACAAAGGGAACAAAGTACACAAAACTTAAACCTGATGTGTGTGAAGGCTGATGATATTCTAGCTGAAGTAAGTAGCTAAACTGTAATCCAGTGACAGAAATTCAAGTGCTTTAACTATCAAATCAAACGCTACGGTAAAATACGCATATTTGGTATAAATTTAGGTAGTGTTAACCATTATATATATATACGTTGTTAAACTAGTATATATTCAAACAAATGTATATTAATGCATAAATTAAACTATGTTAAATTGTCTATCTTAGTATAGATAATACAGTTATCTAACTGTTTAACTAAACATTATGAACAGATCTATGCAACTAATTTCACTAATAATAACCAGATAAATCGATTAACGAATAAACTAAAACGGAAATAATAATCCAAATAAAAAAATCACCAACTAACTGCGTAAACGTTTTAATGTATGCTGATAAACTAATAAAGTTTTAAGATTTTTTTTTGTGCAATTATTTGTAAAGACTGAGTTGGATAATATTAATAATGATAATATTTTGAATTATTGTAATTATATTATAACTATTATCATTAGTTTACTTACACTAATTAAGAATTCATCCTACAAACGATGAAAATGGTGGAAAAACAAGAGGTTGTTGACTGTTTAAAAATGTAGAATACCACTAACTAGTGATGTAATAAACTGGGATATCAAACAGATAGAACGTTTAGATCAACAAATCGAAAGTAGAACGGAAAACTTTAGTCACTTCAAGTAGTCTGTATCATTAAACGAATTTAAAGAAAGATGTATTTTTTTAAAGGCACTCTTATCCCAATGTTAATGTTTAGGTGTTTGCTGTAATACTACATACCATTTCCTGTATTTGATACACTTTTGTATTTGCTTTTCATTTTAAAATGATACTACTGTTTACTACTTACACTTATTAGCTTATAATTTCAATCGAAATCATCTTATGCAGAAAGTAATCATCCACATTTTTTAAAAAATCAACTTTTACTGAATTACTGTTTGTCTAGTATAAGTTGATCGTTTCTGATTTATTCTATTAACATAAGGAAAATTTATTTAGTTGATGTGGATCAAAATCATGAGACGTAAACTAAGTAAATATTATTCTTTTCCTAAAAAACCCCACTTATTAAGTTTGACAAAATGATGAAGTTTCAGTGGTTGGTGAGCTATGAAACAGTTACTCACCAATGGCATTCAATACTGACCGTGTTACAGATCACTAATTAGACGATGTTTTTAGAGTATAAAGTCAATCGTTTAGTTCTATGTAGAAGGGTGAATACGCTCTGTTGAAGAGTTTAAAGTAACGAACAAAATAGGTGTGCAGTGCTTCTTGATTTTAGGTGGAGTTTTGTTCTCTGAGCTGGATGGTTTGGTTGTGAAACTTTCATTATTCTTCTGAACAACATCATCAGCACAAACTTCAAGTAAAAGTGGCGTTTGAATTTCTCCACATATGACTCACAGCTTTTTCTATGGACCTCGATGTTGATTTTTAATGATCTAGCTGATATCAGCCCGTAATGGAGAATGTTTTAAAAAATAATTCATTTCACTCTGTAGACAAGACATTAGTTCGTCTTGGTTAGTTTGTGTGATGGAACCAAGTGTGTGAAACAATATCAACACATAAAATATTCAAGGGCTTTTTCAAAAAAAAATCAAACACCAGTTGACAGATTGCAACAATCATTAAGTACTGTCAGTTTTTGAGAGTAGCAGAGTACGTAGTTAAAAGTTTTTATGGCATGATTTCCCAAAATTTATTTACCTATTCTTTTATTTTACAAGCAGTTATTTAACTTATTGTAGCCGAGTAGTATGGCTTAAAACAAGCGTGGTATTAACCTGTTTAGTCAAAACGAAATATATACTAACTAATCTACAGAACCCATAAATCCAAAATGTTATTCTAACATATTTAATCATAGACAGGTGAAAAAAGAAAATTACTGTAGCTTCGTACAATGTGGAATGTGTTGCACGATATTGAAAAAGAGAAATATGCAAAGAATTCATTTAGTAAACAAAAAAGTATTAAAATATTTCCAGTAAACGGAGAAAAACGTTGTTCTAGATAATCGTCAAAGCGCCAAGAACTAAAGTTTCAAATTGCCTTTCTTAATGTTACGATAATTACTTATTTCCAGAATTTATTATTTCTAGCTAGTATATTCACATATTTCGTGGTAGTTTCCAAAAAGATAACCTAAACAAAAGAACTTCCAGAAATCGAGACGAACTGAATCATTCTGTATGGTAAGGTTAGTCAACGATTATATTGACTAACCTAATTAAGTAAGTAATTGATGGTAAACTTGTATTAAAGACTATTTCATAAAAGGTATCTATGAATTGAAGACAAACGATTAAAAACTAGGATAATCAGTCAATGTTTTAACCTCTTCCCAAATTGAATAAGAATTGTGAGTTGACATAAATCAGATCAAATATAACGAAAGCTTGAAATCATTAGTTGGTAAATATTAAATATTGATAACATAAGACATTAGTTTTTTCAGGAAGATAAGTTCTTCGTGAAGAAATCAGGTGATTAAAACAGACTTTCGTTAATTTATTGAGTATAAAAGTCAAAGTATTTTGAGGACTCATTTCGAAGATTGAAAAATAGTGAGATCAATAATACCCTCTGGCGTTCAACATTAGAAGTAGTGTATGCTAAGAAAGATGTTTAGAGATAAAATTAAATAATTCTTATCTGATTAGCGTTTGATTAATGACTGATTTGAGAATAAAAATACTATACTACTTAGAAATTTATATTTCAAAATCTTAAAAATAAGAAATAAATATAATAGACATTTGGAAAGTAAGTAAAAAGGAAAACTTACACACGGTTTAATTCCAGCTAATCTTAATTGTTTTTATTAATTTGTCTTAAACTTACACAATTAAAACGACTGTAATTGAAAAGCACATGTCTTATTTCATGTAGTCGGTGATCAATAGTTTATTGAAAAATAACAATATATGTATTCGTTTAAATGAAGATTATTCAATTTCAGAACACATTCATCCTATTGAAATAAGCTTTCATCGTTCAACTCATTTGAAACTTATCTCAATTGTACGAAATATGATACAAAACAGTGTACAGAAAATAACAGGATATGAATCCAGGTTAGCATACAGTACAAGAAGTAAAAACCAAATAAGTACATACAATACATTAAGTGACCAGTAAGTGGTATCCACTGTCAAGTTTGTCCAGTCTTTGGTGCTGATTGAATCCTATCGATCGAATCGCAATATGGCTACAAGTCTAACAGACTGAACATTGTATACACTGTTTTTAGATGTTATGTAATTGGGAGTACTCAAAATGAAATTCTGTATAGGTTTCGTCTAAGTCGGAAGTTACCAGCAAGGTGTATCTGTAATCTAGAACTTGTCTAATCTTAAGTGTTGATCTAAATTACTAGAGAGACCATCAGTTCCTTCAAGTCCCGGTACAACTTGAGCAACCTAACATCAAAAGGTCGATATACTACAAGTAGCCATAATAAGAAACTAGAGAAATCCAGAGGCGCAGAACAAGAAATGCAACAAATGAATTTAAAACGCTAATAAGTCCAGATAAAATAACGAGTGAATACACCTTTTAAACTATTAAGTAAAACAGAAAACTTATCTACAACTTTACAGGGCTCAAAGTAAATCTGGATAGTGCTGCAGATTAAATTTGCTGTTGTTCCTCTGAGAAACTAACTGGTCACATATTATGACATACTGCTGAAAGGTGTGATGAGGTATGTATAAAAACCGCTGCAGTAATCTTAGTTCAAGTTTATAACCTGATCGAATAGTATGGTGTCATTGTTTAAACCAAATTAAATTGCACAACAGTTTCAACATACTCGACTAATACTCAGAATCGGAGATGATTTATACATCCAGATATTAGTATGATGCGTTGACAACAGACAGCTCAAAAGTTACTTTGATATAATATAGATATTAATTAAAACCAATTATTATGATGAATAAATAAACTTACTCATAGCGGTTTGTAATTTATCAACAAATACAGTGCATTCTTCTCCGGAAGGAATTTGATCAGTGTTGTTAATATCTGATGGGTAGGTAGTTTTATCATTATTTGTAGTAGTTGATGATGTAGTAAGAAGTTTACCGAATGAAGTTTTTAAATCTTGGGTTGATGGTTGAGGAGTAATAACTGAAATGTCATCAGCTGTAGGTGTATTACATGAGGTTTTAGAAATGAGCGATTCAGAAGTTATACCGATTGTCGACCGACTTTGAGTAGATGACGATGGTGATGAAGAGGCGGCAACGGCGGAAGCAGTTGGTTTCAACATACGTTGTCGATCAATACTTTGTGTAGTCACACTATTTTCTTGAATATAAGCTGACCAACTGATAATGTTTTGATAGATAAAGCACAAAAACATATGGCACATATAAATATTTTTATTAGGAAAGACAACTTCAAAACTTTCTCACTAACAGAATTAGTAATAATACATGAATAAGAAAAACTAGATGTTAATAAACACGTTAGATTTTAAGTGTAATGGAATCTAGGACAATCATTTTGTCCTACTAGGGACTCCATCAGTTGGGCGCACGTGTATCCCAGTTTTGGTTTTTATCGGAATAGAGAAAGTATTAAACAGTTTTCGCAGATTTATTCAGAAAAACGTTTACGATCGGCATTCGGTACATCTTGGTACTCTTGAAATAGAAAAAATATTAGTAAAATGTTGTGGAAAATAGTATTCCTATGAAAACGCGAACACAAACTACTTAGTACTACCATCAGTCACTGATAATACGATTACTGAACTATTCTCGACTAGACTTTTACCAAATCTGATATCGCGTTACTCTGTAGTGATCAATTGATAAAATAGTGGTAATGATAGCCGGTAACCTTAATAAATTCGAAGTAGTATATTCGTCCACAAATTTTACACAAAACAATAATGATCAAGCTATTCAGTTTAGAATTTTAGAATATCTACAAAAACTCTAAATATTATTCAGTATGTATAGACAGTAAACAAATTGATATCAATAATTAGGAGATGGGTATTAAAGATGTTTCAAATTTTATCATTTGCAAGTATCGATTAAACTAAATTAAAACAAAAGTAACAACATGAAAAGCAACAACGAACTTTTGTCTTTCATCTTCTTTTGAAAACAATAACCGGATCAAAACTGTTTGCTTCATAAAGACGATATTTAATAGATGATCACCACCTATATGTTTGTATGCAGTGAGAAAAAAATAAATTAATCCCTTTTACATTTAATAATGAGTAGTATAAAACACCAGACAGGTGGACTATGTACATTATAAAATTTCAACTGAAATATTAACTATTTCAGGACTTTATATAATTAGAGTCTGTGAGAGTTAAGCAATGATAGATAATAATTAGCGAAGTGGGATGTATTTCTAAGGACTTGAAAATATATTATCATGTTGTAATCAATTACAAAACATTGTTTGTTTCTTAAAGATTACAAACTGTAAATCATTTTCACTACAGACGTTATTAAACGAATTTTGGAATGTATGTTGATTCCACACACCATAATGATTATATATATATATATATATATATATATATATATATATAGAGAGAGAGAGAGAGAGAGAGATGTACTTATGTTTACTAACCACTGCGAATCCGTGACAAAATTGAAATACACTAGTTAACCAGTTAGAGAATGACTTAAAATTTAAAACAATTATCAGTTGTAATTTAGAGAATCGCCATTATTATTATTATCTAATGTCCATAAGTCACTTTTTAATTAATCTATCCAGTTTTTTTCAATCACCAAAATCACATTGGAAGCAAGCTAACGTTTTCGTTATTTAGAAGGCACTCAAAGGGTTTGACGTATTTTTGTTAACTGATAGAAATCTATTTTTAAAAAAACAACTAAAAACTTTTGAAAATATTTCTTTTAAATGTCCATTTCGAAATGACTTAATCATATTTAGTTTGGTTAGGAGATACTCACGGTATTTTTACACGGACAGCTTACTATTCACATACTGAAAAGTAAACACTGAGTAGTTGTTTTCCTTACTACTATGATAACTACTACTAGTAATATTGATGATGATAATAATAATAATAACAATAATAATAATAAAATTGTTTCTAAGCTACTTATTTCTAAAATAAAAAAGGGTTAAAACTATTTGGTTGGTGCCTAAATGATAATATTATGGAAGCGTATACCCTAGTCCTGTGAAATAAAAATATCACTGAAATCCACTGTCTAGAAGTTGAACATTTTAAGGTCAGTAGTGAATTTAAAATAAAATTAGGGAAGTAGTATTTTCAGTTCTAAATATATGTTACATGAGTATCTATTGAACAAATGTGACTTTAATGTTTATTACAATTGTTTTCATAATGAGAATAACAACGTTATTTTGAAAGTGACTTTTAGTGTTCAGCTTTACGAATTGTCTTAAACTGTTCTATATAAGGTAAACAATATCAATCCAATTCACAAGCAAACAAACACTAAATAATCAGTTAATAAACAAAGAAGAAATTTAAGAAAAACTAAAAACATACACAAATGAACTAAATCAATTGACAAACTAACCAAATTTTTCACCACACGAAGTAAACACATCTATCAATGGGAATATAGGAACAAGTTTCGAGCTTCCCAACGATGTTGACGAACGATCAGTCATACTGGCGACTGCAGCACTAGCTGCTGCTGAGACAAGGCTTGTATGTGATTGAGCATTTGAATTAGGCGAATAAGAACTAAGAGAACTGCATGAAGAGATAGAAGAATAACCGGATAGATTGCCTGAGTTGGGTCGATCTTTTTCACCAGGTGTACCAGGCGATCCGAAACTGGAAAGACGTTCAACAGCACTACTATTAGAAGCAGAAGTACTGAAGTTCCCGCTACTACCAGAGCCACCGCCTTGTTCACGTACAGCTTTAAAACTACGTAAAATGTAACGTTCACCATCCTTCACCATTAACATAAGTGCATTGTGTAAGAGAATAGCCAACATTTCAGTTCGTTCACAAATATAATCATGATTTACTTTATTTGATCGATTCGCTGTTAATTTATCAACTGTTACTTCGGCATGTGCAAAAACCCAATGATGAAATAATACACGAGGAAAGTTTAAAAGTAAATGCTATAAAGTAATGTAATGAAGAGAGAAAATTTAATATGAAGCTAAATTAGGAAACAAATAAGAACAAATTTTGTTAATGAAACACAATTTAAAACATTTAATTGATTGATAATTGTAATATGACTTTAACTAATAATATTCAATTTTATTAGTGAAATACTATTTGTACGATGATATGACACAAATAACAGGAACTAGTAAACTTTTTCTTCAACTCATTAATATTTTGTACATTATGATAAATCACTGAGATTTGAAACGATATTTATTAACGAATCTGGTTAGTTCCAGGTTGATTTGTAAAACTTTGAACGTTTACTTTTAAGCATGACGGCTTTTATGTGCACTAAATGATTTTTTTCAAACACGTTTTTTTATAATCCTACAAGAGAGAAAGGAAGACATTGATACTAATCTCTGTTGCACATTTTCAATATTTCGATGATGCTTTTATAGAATCATATTTATTCAATAGAAAGATTTTTGTTGTGATTTTAGTGTCCCGTTTATTCAGTAATTAGAGATACAATAGTTATTCTCAAGTAGAGAGGATACGTTCTTTCAAAGTGAAGAACCACTGTACAAATTTAGTTAGTCGATTAATAATATGAAATCTTCTGTTTCTATCTATTTTTATCTGGATCCGAAGCAATAAAACCATAATTACGAACTAGGATTAATAATAATTCAATCTTTAAACTGTATCGTTCCATTATAATTTAAATGTTAACTAATGTAATGGTAAGAAGTTGAATATAGTTTTGCGATAGTTTAACTGTAACGTACAATGTTTAACGAAACATTGATCTACAAAAACTCATAGTGTTTATTCCCTTTCAACAACCTATGATATCACTAAATTTAAAAAAAGATTACAAATAGTTGAGTTAACGGAAAAGAAAAATTATTTCCAGTAAGAATAAGGAAACAAATTGAACATTCACCTGAAATGGTACTAATAAATCCGGAAGTGGTTTAGACAAAATATCTTTTTTATCCAAACTAGTACATAATTGACCAAGATTAATTCGTTTAACAAGTGGCATACAAACATTATCGATAGTTTGTGGTAAACTGGCCAATTTAAGTTGAATTTGTTGCCAAATTTTAGCTTCACCTGGAAAAATAACGTTTTTTTTTTAAAAAAAAACAGTAGATTTAAATGGAGTGAAGTAAAATGAAGTACAAAATGTGACGAAAAGTATTTGTTAGGACACAGACCAAACAAAGTACATTAGAACTAGAATAATACATAAAAGATCTAAATAGATTCAGTCTGGAAATCGGTAATTGATTTTATATGTTGCGTAATATCGGCTGAAGCAGCTATTGTAAAGCGAATTACTGGTTGAAGAAACTTTCTTTCAATCAGTAGGTTAGATGGTTGAACCACGCTTAATTCGCTATAGACTGTATAGTAAACGGATTATCACTATCCATCACAATAATAGTGCAAATTAAAGCTGAGTACATGAGATTTGTACTTGGTAATTGAATTACTTTATTACGTTATAAATGATGGTCCCCAAACACTCTGGTACTGTTAAATGTGGCAAGAATCAGAGCTCCGACTCTAAATGCTCTCACATGATCATTCATATACAACAACTGTCAGGGGAGTCCTAATCACTGCCTTTTCGTGGTGGCGGTGCAGTTTACGAAATTCGAAGGACGAAAAGCGAATGTCCGGCGTTTTAACAAGGTTGGTGGATATGGAGGATCGATCTAAGGGAGTTGGAAAACTCTTATCCCAAATCAATGGTGCACATGGGCTCCAGGATACTGAGGGAGAAAATGGCGTATGAATCCAATGTTGATCACCAGCTACCGTGGGACTACATCTCCCAACGTTGCTCAACTGCCCTCTGGATTAGACCTCTAGGTCAAAGGCTCGATGAGTAACCCTCTAAAAAAACCTTGCTTCGATTTGGGTGCTCGGGCAACATTCCAGCCCTCACACAAATCGAATGATGAGTTGTAGCGCACATATATTTAGTGCTTATGTATTAAAATGAAAAATAAAGGTTGAGATTTGTTTAGCGAATATTTCACAAAGCCAAATACAGTAATTTATGTCGAAAACAGCAAAACTATAAACACATACTAGCAAGATAGATAATTTCGTTACAATCGTCATAATGTAAAGATACAATAATTTACCAGATAGAAAATGTAAGAACAACTTCATCATCAACAGTTAATTCATTTAACCACATGAAACTAGCACAGACATAACAACAGAAAATCTAATAGTAAAAAATAATGTCAATTACCTTTGTATATTTTAGTTCTCTTTTCCAAATCTTTTGCAATATTATTTGCAATTAATGGTAAATTAAAGTAAAGAATTCGCATTTGTTTTAAACCTTCAATTAAGACAAATTTATTATGCCTAGTTTGTAATAGAGGTACAATATCTGGATGTCGGCGTACATAATCACGAACAGAATGTCGAACACTTTCTAACATATTTGAACATGAAAGGGCTTGACAATAACGAGCCCATGTCTGTGAAGATGAAAAGTATGAAAACTTTTACATTACAAACAATAACATGAATAAAAATAATAATAATAATCACGTTATTTAGTACCATAACTTTTGATACAGTAGGGAATTCCGAGTACAAAATATCAAATACTGTGGTGAATTCTCTTGAACCTATAAATTATTTGTAACGATTTTGAAAAATACTATTGAATATTTTTTTAAGAAGGGTGATTAGCGGTAATGGATTCTGAAGAAATTCAAGTCATTTATGATTAACATCATGCACTGATATTAGACAATCAATGAAGACCAGGAAGCACTGAACAACTGTTTCATCCTAGTAAAAGACTTCTCAACAGTGTACATCCACGATTCTACCGGGGATTAAACCTAGGATCCTCGTTCACATGGTGAGTCCTTAATCTTTAAACAGCCGGAACCTATTGATTTATATGTTTAAATTCAATCAATTGGCAGTAATGAGAAATTGTCTTTCAATGCCATCAATGGGTAACTGCTTTACGGAAGTTACAACTCACTATAACTCCAAGAATTACTTTTCCAAATTAAGCTCTTTGTGAGCACATGCTAATTATCAATATAAAAGGTTTGTTAAGATTGTTATATCCTTGATGGAATCATAATTGGGCACTGCTGAGGAGTCTCATGACGGGAAGATACAACGGTCTAATGCATCCTGGTTTTAATCACTTGTTTGACGAAACTATAATTCATGGACGAGCCAAGGTCATGGTGCCCATCTCAATGCCCAATGCTCACTTGCTATCGGTTTACAGAGGATTTCAAGGAAAACGTAATAGTTGAGAAACTACAACAGATTGGACTACCGAGAACTTCCTTCAATAGAGATTGTGATCTTCGAATGACTTCTGGACAGTGTGTAGGCTATTCTTACGACGTTGCATTTCGATGTAATATATGTTGGAGGAAAACGTCTAGTAGAACGGAGACTTTTTCCGCTCGACCCCGATTGACACTAAGACAGATTGTGATAATTGTTGTAAACTAGATAATAAAAGCACCATTAACACTGGCTACAACCTTTGCAGATGTTACTGAGGCTTCAGCAGTTCAGTGGTATGAGTACAAAACCTCTTTCTAACATTGGAAAGTTTTTAAACCATGTTAAAAAAGTGTATCCACTCTAATTTTTTAGTTTTGTATAATATATTCTTACTCCATACCGACTTTTTTCTGATTGGCTGAAATCCCTCAAGGTCACTTAAAATTCGTTCAAAGGTCATTCATAAATTACGGTCATGCCATTACTGAGTAAGGGATTCAGTGAATATCATCGATACAAAATTTAAATACGAAATTAATTTATTCTTCACTTACAGTACTCAGATTTCAAAATCACGCTTTTTTTTCCGATAAAATATGTCACATTTACATTGAACTAACTAAACTAGTTTAGAGAGAAGATAACCTTTGTAGTAGAGTAATATATAAATATATATGGCGAGAGAGAAAGGGATCAAGCCTGGGATCTACAGTGATCGAAAAAAATGGATGCAAAAATCACTTAATGTTCTATAGTTATTTCATTTTATTTCTGCTCGAAGAAAAAAGTGGAAATGAGTGAACAGTTGTATAAACTATCAAACATATTCAAACAACGTGCAGACCACTGGTACATTGTAAATAAGTATTTTCAATGATTTTTTAAAGTAGATAATTACAGTAATAATTTTTTTAAATTTATAACGTTTATTTACTTTTAAATTAGCCGATGAATTATCAGTTAACCAGGCTAGAACAGCTTCAGCCATACCACGATAACCTTGTTCGGTTTTTGTTTGATCAATACAAGTAACGAGACTACGAAAAAGATCAATTAATATAGGAATTTGATCAAGGCATAAAATTTTAGCCAATTTTGCATGTTCCACAGGCCAACGACGTAATAATAAATACTCGTATTGTTTCAAATGGCGAACCATATATTGAGTTTTTTGATGAAATTCCAATAGAACTAGTGTACGAATATACTCTTCACTTTTTTGACCCTTTTTGTTACAAAAAAAGAGATCATATTAAAAGAAATGAAAAAGAATATGAAAAAAACGCGAACAGTCTCTTCGTTCCTCTTGCCAACTTATCATAGATAATAAATATTCATATATAACTAATTGAAACAGTTGTTTTTATTTATACATAACTGCGTTATACAATCTAAGCTGATGATAACAAGTAAAGATGATGGTTAGTGTATATCGAAAAAAATGAAAATGTCACAAACATTTTAAATTTGTTGCATAATTCTACTACTTCATCTAGATATATTAAATGAAATAAATTTATGTGACATTTTGAGAGTTTCATTTATTTGGATAATTTATGAATGGTGATGAACGGATAACAAATCATGTTAAAGAATGCGACTAGACTAGACATACGTACGTATTATGGACCAAAAATGAAAACAAAAAAGGATAAATAAAATAATTTTGAGAGGAATGATGTGTAGGAGACAAACGATAATATTTATAATATGGTTAATTGCTTGCATCTAGTGGTACTGCTAATACAATATCTCGAATTGGAAAAATGTTGTCTTACCGTACTAATGTTATGGTAGTAAATTCAGAAGATGTATATATCTGTCAGGCTTTCCATTGTATATCACTGACTAATAACTACACACTACATACCGTACAATCAGTATGGAAAACCAAGTATAGTTGACGTCTGTCCTATATACAGTGATTAGTATTCACTTCATGGCATATTCTTGAAATGTAAGCTAACTTGCAAAAGCCAATCTCCTCTCTTATCATAACAACACGAGATTCTTTTTAATGTGTTAGTTGTTTGATCTACCAAGTCAAGTAAGATCTCTATTTATAAAATTAGTACCTTTTTGGTTGTTTTCTGACTCTAAATACAGTCCAAAACGTTGTGGGAAATATATTCTAACGGTATTTAGTTTGAATCTTTGAACCATCTTCAGTTATTTCTTCATATTTGTAAAATATATAAGGCAAATGATGACGGTCCAACCTACCAAGTAAAGATTAATGCACTCGGCTGAATCACATTATATGTGTGAGGGCTTGTGCTACTACGCAGCTGTCATAGGTGTAGTGGAACTGAAACCTGCGGACTACTCAGCTCCTCGAGTAGTTAAGAAAACGAAGGATACTTGAAACCGCCCAGCGTATTTATAAATAAAAAATTATAGAAATGTAAATCTAAAATATCCCTGCACTTAATTTCAACTCATTCTACAGAGAATACTGAATTAAAGTCAAGACATCGAACATTGAAAAACAGTGTTTATACATACTTTACTAGGCATTTGAAAATTAGGAAACTGAGCTCGTAGTTCAACTGCTGCTTCAAAACTTGCTCCTGCAATCATTTCTGGATCATCACTCCAATCTGTAGTAACTAATTCACGTACAGTCTCATTGATATTTGAAACAGGACTACTTAACGATGATGAAGATGGTGATGATGTTGTTTCGACTGGACGATCACAAGGACCTGTTGAGCTACTTGGTGTAGGTAGATTTGAGGAAATATTCGAAACGACACTATCACTAAAACATAAAACAAAATCGAGGATTTGAAACAAGTTGATAACTCAATGAAGACAAAACAGTCTCCAAAATACAAACAACGTGAAATGATAAAAAAGCATCCGCCAGTACTAACGCCATCGATTTTTAAAAGTAAACTACTGACCAAGTGTATTAAGACACTAGTATTCTTAAGACAGAATACCAACAATAGTAAATATAAAAGATGTAATCTGTAAAATACAGCCGTAAATAAGTCTTTTCAATATTCCTAGGCACAAAAAAATTAGATGTAGGATTGTGCCTTATTGTATACCATTTTCTCAAAAAGAATGCCTGTATATCAACAGTAAGATAAGTATTTTTACGGTGAAACAACATTTACATTAAAAGGAAACAATAACATAAGTAACTTCAACTCAACAATATAAAGATTTTGATGGCTAAATTATTTAGGTAAGTATTAACTGGGACAAAGACTTCAGTAATATAGTAGTCATAATCACTAACAACAATAACAACATGTAACTTGACATAATTCATATAATATTATCGAGAGAGCTAATATGTCATCATATATATTATTGCAACAATTAGTACTGTTTACAGAACTTTGCCAATTCAAATACAGTAGTCGCACCAATGAATCAATATACAGGTTATTTTATTGAATTGATCCATTATAGATCGAAATTGACCCCAGGATTATAAATATTTGGCTGTCTACCGATTTGCAACGCTAGGTATTACGGTATTTAAGATTGAAGATAATTTCCTTCACATCTATATTGGTCTTAGGAAACAAAAAAATCGAAGTATCATTTTTCGTTCATAAGATAGATTTATTATAATGAGACTGTCAGTTAAGAGGTTGAATAAAAGTTGGACTACTCAACTTTAAACCAGAGGATTGTACGCTTGATACATGTTGAACTCTGATTAGGGCAACCAACTTGTATGAATAAATTTCTTTGTCTATAGCACACACACATAAAATGTAGATCGAAGCAGTATACTTAAACATCGATTTGGTAAGCCTACTTGTTGATTAGAAATTCATAATTTTACCCATCTAATTAAACACAACAGAGTCAAGTGGATTCCAGATTTTGATTCACTAATTGAGTTAACTAATTAAACAATCAAAATCATACCTTTCTAAAAAAAAATAAACACATTAATCACATGTAATTAAATGATAGAATGAATAAGAGAAAGTTATTATTGATCTATAAATTAGTAAAAAACACACCTTCGAGACGTTGGAATTATTTCTTGAATGATTTCACTTCCTTCGTATAGATTTTTCATTTGTTTTACATAACCTTCATTTGTTTAAAAAAGAAAAAAAATACGGAAAAGAAGAAATAAATATCGAATAGATGAACATAAAACCAAAGGATGAAACAAATCAGACAATAAAGGAATGTATGATAATCAAATAAATAAAAGACAATTTTGTGAGTCATCCAGAAATGTATATGAATGGAATGTGAAACGCAAAAATTGATTTGACGTATATATAATATAAATATATACAGATAAAACATATATTTATTATATTGTAAAATACCAAACAAAGGCAATTAGTATGGACAACCAAAATCATATCAATGATAAACCGAAAATGTATGAAGAGAAAATCTTTGAAAAAATTTCCCATCCCAATGTTCGATAAAGTTTTCCGTTGCAAAAAAGGTTTCCAAACAAACTAGTACTGAAGACTGACAAAATGAAAAACCTATTTCAAAGTTAGGTTAATAGATAATTAAAAGAAGCCACCCAATATATAAATGGTTCGATTAATAATGATACTGAGGAATTACGCATTGATATATTGTTAAAATGTGCAATTTTACTTAAGCAAATAGGAAATATGTACACCCATGACCTTACTGTGTCCTTCAAAAATTAACTTAATAATTACTAACAAGTAGTTTAACCTCATGAAAATAATTACATTGAGATTATCCCATTTTTAAATTGGTTGTTTGAAACTTCTCATTGATGTCTAGGACTGCAATCGATCAGTCTCCTATTGATAAGTGTGTATTCTGTGCGGATTGCTTCAACTCACTAGAATGATACACGATAACGATGGCTAACAGGGGAATTCAGGTTCCATTCCCGGAGTGAACAATAATTCTGGGATGCAGGTACATACAGCTGATGAGTCTCGAATGGGATGAAACTCGTGTCCTGTATTCTACTGCTAGCCACCATTATAGCTTATATTGAGATTATCGTTAGGATTTGCTTTAATAATTAATACGATCATCTGAATATTGACACGTTCTGTAACAAATAGCAATTTTAATATAATTATTTCGTGAAAATTTCATCCCAGATTATAAATAAATAACTACTGAGAGTTACACGTAATTAAAAATAAATAGACTTTATTGTACGCTTTTTACAATGGGATTACCGATGAATTTATTTAAACGTTGTTAATTTACTGAAAGTTTAAACAAAAGGATTATAAACGGTTCATTTATTGATTCTTCGAAACTATAGAAAAATAAGTTGGTAATTTTTGAAAAAGGTAAGTCAAAAAATGACAGTAAAGAAAAATAATATTTATTTATGAAGGAAAGATTAATATTTTATCAGTTACGTTGTATTAATATATACGAAGTATAAATGGACACAATATTTGTAATGAAATCAACTGGATTCACTTCTATCATTTGCTAAGACATGTTTCAAAGGTCAACCATAGTTGAATTAAATCACAATGAATATTTAGAGATGAAAACAGTTTGGAAAAGAATAGAAAGTATGAAAGATGAATAGATAAATGACAATAGTTTCAACTGTCTGATTATTCAGGTTTAAACATAGGGAGAGTAACACAAATTCTTTTATTAAGGGATAAGAGTTTTATTTGAGAATTTAAATGTTATGTAACTACTCATTTACCAAGTACAAGTTCATGTCTCTAACTTTCAGATACAATGTGTCTACAGGAAGGTTATCAATAATACAAATAAAACCATTACTGGAAAAGTCTTTAGTTGAAATGAGAATAAGTTTCCAAAAATATTAAACAAACAAACAAGCAAACGAACAAAATCGCATGATTAAAATTTAGTTCTGCATATTTTGTATGTAACTGCACATCGAAGCTATTAACAGGATTATAGACATTTGTAAAATTGATGTTTAGAAAATACTTGATGGTTATTATTAGTAAATAAAATGAAATTTACGAATTAATTAGTAGAAACAGATCAGTAATAAAGATAAACGGAAATTTGTACAATAAAAAAAGCAGTATATAAAACAATAGAAGCAAAAATAAGTCTTTAATAGGAAATCAAAACTATATATATATATATATCATTGGTAAACTTCCACAAAACAGCCACCTTGTTTACAACGTTGTACTTGTTCGTTACTGTTGCCATCATCATCGTCGTACGTCTTGTCAGTCGGAAAAGTGTTAATGTGTATGTGTGCAATTGTCTGTTTTTTGCACACAAAGCAATCACAGATTGACTAAGATCATTGTTTCAGTTACGATCGACATTGTAAGACATAAAACAGATTTATACAGTGTAATAATGAACAAATTCTTTTTTATCCTATACTATAATTCTGTTGATCAACATGGTATTTCAGACAATTTTTCTTTGAAAGCAATTTTCCGAAATGGTTAATTTCAATTATAACCTTATCAATAATATTTTGTCAACTTCAGATAATGAAGTTAATTATAATTATGAAGTATGATAATGGATAATGTGGAAAGTATAAAATATTCTTAATAAAAATAATGAATCATAATTCAAATAGTAAATAGTTCCTCTTGTAAATATATCTCTCAAAATGAGCACATATTCTTGAGTTTTTCCACTTTTAATAAAGTTATTTCGCTATTCTCACAACATATTTCAACTGTAGGTATATAAATTGAAATAGATAAGAAAAGAGATGATAAGCAAATAAAAAAATATAGTGATAATTGATAAGTCTTGTTAATTTGAACGCTTTATTGGGTTCCTAAGCTATACTGGTAACCCGCAAGCTAGAACTACGCAGCGACCTGAACTCGAGAGAAAAGGCGCAAAATAAGCGAAAAGCACTTTACTCCAAAGGTTCATTTTTGTACAGAAAAACATGGGTATTTATAGATGTTAACATTTTTTAAATCAACATTATATTTTTGAACAACCCGCTAAACGAAATATTATGCTACTGACCAATAGTAGCACGCCACGTTGACATTCTAGAAAGCTCCATCATGCTCTGATTGGCTAGGACTCTTCGGCTCCTTTAGGGCCTCTTGAGGCTTCGTTGCAGTTCTCGGAAAGCCGACTCAACAACCCCGAAATAAGATTTCTTTCTAGGATCTACTTGTAGTTGACAACTGGGTTGCGGCGGCGTCCCATTATTCTTGTTGTCTTCCTTGTCCGAGGATTCTTTTCGGTGTCCTAGAGCATATGTAGCATTGGTGTGTCTAAGATTAACTCTAACGGAAACTCCTTCCGGTTATTTCGAGTCTGCACCGTTCTTTTGTCCTTATGGATTTGATTTGTATGTCGTACACATGTTCTGATTGGCTAGAATTCTTCGGCTCCGTTGCAGTTCTCGGAAAGCCGACTCAACAATAATCAATATATTTTCTGTTGTTATAACCCGATGAGTAGTGAAATTGTATTTTTCGGAAGTTTCGCGACTTAATGTAAGCCACCTCTTCAAAGTAAATAAATAGCCGAATTAAATTAACACATCTTAAATCGTATAAATTAAATAAGACCACAAAAAATATATTTTTTATTAGCTTCCTACATAATGCTTAATTTATTTGAAACTATCAAATTCAACGTTGGCATTGATACCTACAAATACATGATAATTTGTCAAAATTCAAATGATCAACATCTGTACTATGGAGATGATATGTTCTTTGTATAACGTTGGGTCAACTATCGACAACTTGTCTAATTATAACTGATGTATTAATTCAGTGTACAGTAATAATCAAAAACCTGTATGCAATCTGATTCATTAAAATAAACAGCTCGAACAAGGTGTAGCATTCCTTATCTCTAGCTAACAAACATGAAGAAATGAAATGGAGCGAAACTTAATTTAGACCATAAAAGTTCAACATTTGAATAATTTGACGTAGAATGAATCCAAGTTACACTATAAACAAGACAAATAACAATCAATGAAATGAACACTGAAGAAAGGAGAACAGAAGAAAGAATTCAATTAGGACAGTCATCAAAATAATAGCCCATTAATAATTTACTTTTTTATGATAACACATCGAAAATTTAAAACTTATAATAAGTTGATTAATTTCAATATCGTTTGAGGAGAAACAGAGGATAGATAAACTAAAAAAAATTAACCTTGTTTAACTGTTATACTTAAGCGACGACGTGATGATGATCTCGAATCCAATGGAACTTTAATATCTTCAGATGAAAATAACACAGTAGAATGATTAAGTGCAATTTTTATTATTTGAAAAAAATATTAAAAAACATCACAACAGCCGTTAAACACACAAAAAGAGAGGAAAATTGAGCACACAAATGTTAGATTTATGAAAGTAAACAGGAATATGGCATGAAGTACACCGAATAAAAAAATATAAATGATAAAAATAGAAGATAATGAACAATTATGATCAAAATAGCCAACGTTAAATGCAATAACAAACAGTTTATGTAAGTATGCACAGATTGATGTGTGTTCGCGTGTACACCAAAAATATCATCAGCAATTCCACAAATATGAATGATTATAAAGCCGTAATTACGTGATAATCATTTTATAATAAAGAATATAACACCACAAACGCAGCAGATAGTAGAGAAAAAATTAGCCAATAATAATGTGAACGTGTACGAAAACCAGTTCACGAATACCATAGAAACGATATTTTTTGTAGATAGGTACAGAAAGTATACATGTATAAACACGTTTAAATGAAGGTGTGCCCATGTGCAGATTGAAAAGTAAAAAAAACAGTATAAACAAAAAATTAATTGACTTTATCACATCTCATAGAATATATATATATATATTAAGGTTGTGTATTGAAAGTATATCATTGAAAGGATACTATTGCAATGTTAAGTATAGACATGATCATCTCTGAATTAAAATAAAGAGAATTCAGCGAAGAAAAGTTTCTTTTCGATGAAATCATTTACTCAAGCTGTACATTCGTATTTATAGTTGTATGGTAAATATATGTTTATAATAAGCTTTTAAAAGGAGAATGCAAACAGTTTCCAGTTCATAACGGGAGCATCTAAACAACTCTGCATACGTCACTTTGAAAGGAATTTCCTTTAACATAATCCACACAATTAAAGGAACTGGATCGAACGGAGGTCGAATCAATGGTCCAGCAGGTTAAGCGTTCGCGCGCGAGACCGATAGGCCCTGGGTTCGAATCCCGCGAGCGGGATCGTGAATACACACTGTTGAGGAGTCCCACAATGGGATGAAACGGCCGTCCAGTGCTTCCAGGTTTCCAACGGTGGTCTAACATCAATCAGTTGCCCCCAAATGCCCTGGTACGGCCGAGAGTGGGGAGAGTCTGCTCTCCCTCTCGAAGTGCTCTCACATGGCCACGCGTATATAGCCTCTGCCAGGGAAGTCCTACTTATTGCCTTCTCGTGGCGGGGGTGTGGTTTACGAAATTGAGAGGATCAAAAGCGAATGTCTGGAGCTTTAACCGGAATGGTGGATATGGAGGATCCATCTAAGGGAGTTGGAAAACCCTGATTTCAAACCGATGGTGCACATGGACTCCAGGATACTGAGGGAATAAACGGCGTATGTATCAATTATCGGTCACCGGATACCATGGGACTGCATCTCCTAATGTTGTTCCACTGCCTTTTGGATCAGACCTTAAGGTCAGAGGCTTCTGGTGTTACCTCTAAGAAAATCATCTAATTCGATCTGGGAACCTGGGCAGTATCACAGCCCACAAACAAATCAAGTGACTTGTGCAGCGCATATGTATTCAGTGCCCCTTTGTATCAATATTTATGTGTTCAAATAAATAAATTGATTAGATACTACAAGGAGTAATATTTCATGAGAAAAAACTGTTAGGGTTATTTTTCATATTGCGAATTATTACCACTTATTTTAAAAACTGACTTTAGCGTTCAGACTAAATAATCATTAGTAAAAAAATGTATGAACAAATTATTATTCATTATGATTTCGTCTTTGTTTGAACTACTGTCATATCTCCACCCCCCTTTAAAAATTTGTTTTATAGTATAAAACTTTTACACACACCAAAAATATAATAAAGAAACAAGGTAATTACCGAAGATGGATTGCTCAAAATCTTATTTAAGATACTTTTTATTACAAATCAGTGTCAGATAAAGAAACAGTGAGAAAGTGTATGGTGAAGTTATTTATATACCATGTACCTTAAAAAGCTCACAAACTGAGTCAAGAAAGTTTAAATAATTATTAGAACGAGTTCAAAATTACAGATCGTCATGCATAAACACTATATTAGTGTAAAAAACTGGATTTTGTTATCCAACTCTATGAGGAACTACACTCAAATTTTAATCGAAACATAACCCAGAGAGAGAGAGAGAGGAGAAAAGGTGAAACAAATGAAATATATAATTATTTAGTTGATAACTACTGACAAAGAAAAAGGTGGAAAACCATCAACTCTCGTAAAGTTTAGGAGATAGACAGCGCAAGATTCGGTACAAAGGCATTCAGTTCAAGTTGACAATCAAGGTGAAAAGCAAAGGAGTGGAAAATCATTAAGCTAAACGTAATAGCCAACTAAAACAGAAGAATAGAAAGTTGTGATTAACGAATGAAACAGAGGAATTAAATGCACAGACTGGTTAAATATTTAAGAAGAGAAATCCTCAATTTATCTGTCCAATTATTATCTATTTCAAACAATCTTAAATAATATCAAAGTGAATCAGAACAGAAAACCGAGATCACTAAATAATAAATAAATTTGTATTATTTACCATTAAATGGAAAATTTTGAAGTATCTGAAATATTCAACGAATGACAACGCAACACTGTTTAAGAGTTACTGGAAGTATTTGTATCTGAATGGTAAACAGGAGGCATGATAGACATAAAACATCATATCTAGTGAATGAGCTTCGATCGATCATAATACACAAACTATACGGAAAGAAGAATCAATATGAAAAGGAAGGAAGAATTACAAATAACTTAGAAAAATGGGACCTTTTGAGTTTGTATTTAAATCAGTTCAATAAAACTACTTACTATAATAAATATGTATGATAATTGGAATTTACTCTATTAACTTCTACACACTTTACATTTAAAGTGATAAAAAACTACTAGATTTTCAACCTACGCGAATCATTGCCCATAATCCCACATTCCTCTCCATTCGATTTAATTTTGTCTGTTTGACCAATACCAGATTGTAAATAAGAATCCACAGGAGTTTGACATGTGGATCCAACTGACATTGATGAAATGGAATCACGTTTAGATAATCCTGGTGAAGGAAAGTTGATAGATGTGTCACCACCCCCATTGCCTGATATTGAAGAAGTTTCATTCAACCCAGAACTATAAGTACTATCTTGACAAGATGAATTAATTGTCTCGTCTAGTGATGCAACAGCGTCGAGTGGATTATCAACCGAGTTAGCTGAATGTATATGGAAAAAATACAAAAAATTTAATAATTATAACAAATAAATAACACAAACTCAATAACGAAAAAATGCAACGAAAATAGATCAACCTTAAAAACGACTAGTTAGATTAGCAACGAAAAGCAGACCCCGGAAGTTGTATAACAATCTACACAATATACACTATTATGTGGAGACTCTCTATCTTCTGATACAATTCTTGATGAATGATAGCGGAAAGTTTCTATTTTCGTCTGTTTCAGATAAACAAAACAATCTTCAGGTAGCCCTACAGCCAAAAAAATCTGAAGAGAATAAATATTTTATACTGCTTATAGGTAGAATAAAATAATGAAATATATTAACCGCTCAAAAGAATAACAGAACAGAAGAAATGTTTAGAATAATTGAGGTAAATTCCATGTTATCCTTTATTGGTTTTTTGAAGATAATAGAAACAGTATGTTTTTTATTACATACTTTTTGCCATTGGCCTCAATTTCGCCAGATATATTTCGTTGTTTTATTGACCTGAAGATGACGATAACAACAACAGTGTGGTATGTGTATTGGATAGACATGAAAAGTGATAGTATGTAAGTAATCCGATTGCTTTTTTTGTGCAAACAAAATGATAGGTACGTAGGTGATCAAGGAAATATAATTAGTTTTAATTGTGAAATAATAATACAGAAAACCAATAATCATATAAAGTGTTTAGCATGATTGCTTTGTAAAAGCAGTAAGTTAGAAGTAACTGATCTAAATTGTTTAATTATTTGTCCAGTTTACCTTTTACTTTCAAACCAAACGTTGACAGAAATGATGACACATATCTACTCAATGTTTACATTGATTCAGTAAACTGGATAGAATGAAACTCCACTACAACTGATACCAATGCGACAAAGTGCATGATTCAGAGTCGATTAATGAAAACATTAATTGTTAGTTTGAACAGAGTTGACACACTTAGACTTCTTGTTGAAAGTTCGTGGTTTTAGAACAATGAGAAATAAGAATCAAAAATCGATCAAAACACGAGAAAAAAAATTAGTGTTATGTCTATCTTCCTTCTCAGATTCTCTTTCATTGCGCTGTTAATTAACGTGATAATTAAGATCAAGACAGTATTATAGGAGTAACTAAACATTGATAAATCACTCAATTCAGTTATGTCCCTTTAGTGTATATAAGTAGAGTACTTCAAAATTGCAATATAGATTAATAGTAAAACATTTAAAATAATTACAACTGATATTGTAAAAATTACAAACCGATCACATAGATAATAAGTTTTTTTAGTCTTCACACTGAAATCAGTAAAGTGATAGAATGTATCCACAGCATTTGATGAGAGGGAGATATTGAGAGGATAATCAACATTCTCCATTATTAATTATTTTAATTGTGAATGTATGAATTGTTCTCATCAAACTACGTTGAGTAGCAAATATCATACAATGCGACTTAATTTGTTTTCTTTTTTTCTATAAAAAGAAACCTTGTTACACTCACTGTACAATGAATATGTACACAGAAGTTTCTTAGTGATAGATATGAATGTGTATTAGAAAAATATTTGATACCCTATCAATCATTGATAAATACAAATATTAAAATAACTTGAGGAAAAGAGAAAGCAAAACAACATGACGACAATAAAAAAACAAAATGTAAAATTAATCAACACAGAAAGCTTTCGTTAAAATTTGATTAGAATAAGTGGCTATCCATAAAATTATGTTAATTTAAGAAAAACAAAACATTTCAAATTTAACAAAGTTACCATTCACATAAAGTTAGTTTGTTGTTAATGTTAACATCTTGATGTATACTAAGGATATGGTGAACTCATATGATTACAGAAATGTCTCCTAGATAAATTAACAGTGATTTTAGGTAATATAGGATCACAAGTGACTTTTAAATACTTTAAACAAAAAGATGATTCTACACTGAATTAACTAAACTTTTTACAGAGTGAAAATTTCAGATATGTCAAAATCATCTCGAAAAAAATAATGTATCATTAAAACAAACTACAAGGTTATTAGACTCCATTTCTGTTAACTAAGTATACATGACTTATCGTTCTGGAAACTTCCCTTTGCTGAGTTGTAGAATGGCTCTTTGCATTATATACCAAATAAGGCAGATAATCACTACTAACGTTAAAAAGACTTCAGAAGCCTACTTCCTAAACAGATGGATTTTCAGTTGCTTATTCTTTGTTTTAACCAAGATGTTGATACCAAAAATGACAAAGTTTTATGGTGAACACACTATTAGTGTTAGTAAAATTTCTTCGTTGTTCAAGCATATATATATGTCAACTGAACTAAACTATTCATACTACACATATTATTGATTTACTTATGTGCTTCATAAGAGTGAAAACTACTCAACAGTTTTTGATATTATCTCCCCTTTTGATAAATGTGAAAATTTCTAAAAGGGTAAAAAGGTAACACAACATAGTAGTAGTAAACATTTCTCCGAAATTACCGATAAACATGTGTGTTAATGTATTTTTAGATAAGCAAAAATGAAAATAATTACTAACAAAATTAATTATTTAAATACCATTGTTGTTACGATGAAGAAATGAGGGTAAGAGGTGAAAATCTTTTAATGTATTAGCTTTCTTTTGTTTATGACGTGTATCAGAATCACAACGTCGATGAATAGAACAACCTGTAATTTAGTATTATTAATTAGTGACAATACGCATTTATATTATAGCAGGCGTTGTTAATCATTAGTGCACAAATCAATTTTAATTATGATGAAGAAAAGAATGCAAAGAGAAAACAGAATAAAAAAGAAATTTTAATTAATAAACATAAAAACATAGTGAATATCATATGATATTTCATCTCAATAACAAAGTAAAATTTAACTTAGGAAATCAGTAACAAGTTAAAGAGGCTTCAAACAGAAAATGAATGATTACTATGGACGATATATCATAATTAGTCGACAAGAATTAATAGTTAGAAATCACAATTATTCTATGGATCTGTAACACAGTATATTGAAGTGTTAGGCTATGACGTCAAATAGTGGATAATATCAACAAAACACTTTGTTACCCTTTTGAGTCCATGATAAGTGATACGTTAATGTATTACGTTCGTTATTTGCAAATCCAAACATAATACAATGGATAAAAGTGTTTCGATTCACTTATTCTCTTCTCCCTGAATAAAATGAGAAAACCAAGTCTGTATAGAAGCTTTTCTTCGATAGAGATTGTGTATCTTTACATTATGCTTCACAACTGAGAACACTGTACGAAACTATGGATAATTGTAACTTAATCTGTCTTTCATTAATCTCTTTATCTAGATTTGTTGGTAACACACTACACGTTGTAATGGTATAACACATATGAACAGAATCAACAAAATTGAGAAGTGTCGCGTAAAAAACGAAAGAAAATTATTCTTAAATTCATTTTTTACGTTCTGCTTTCTGTTGGTACTCAACAGAATAGTAGACCTGCAAAGAACAAATCCAAGAAGCGTATACTCTCTCTGGAATTAAGATAATTTAAATCCAAACTGCTGATGCCCAAAATACCCAAATGACTCTCGTAAGTTTGTAATTCTGTTTTGTTATACAACTCCATGGTAACATTCAGAATACTTCGAACTGTTTGAGATACACTGTTCAACATAATGTTGAACTATTAAGTTAAGTGAATATGACACTAAATTCAATGATAAAATCAGTTAGTATTACTTTGGTGAATGTTCCCATTAAATTTTCCAATCAACCAAAGGGAGAAAAAAAGCCACAACACCTATAAAAATTATAAACAACTTGCCGTGATGGATAAAATCACTCGAACCAATTTGACTGGGATTTAAGGGAACTTTATTGCATGATTCATTCGTTTGGTTCGGTGTGTTACCTGGAACATGTGTATCAATTGTGAGATTTGGTATACTACCAAGTATACCGCCTAAAACATTTGCAGACGTGACGCCAGTTGTTCTACGTCCTTCTCTACTACAGTGATCTCGAATACCATTTTTACATTTTAAGTGTATAAACAGATCACAATCTACAAAGTGAAAGAAAAAAACTGTATTAATCATAGTTGAACATTAAGAAAACATTGGAGAAACTTATCTACAACCTTGAAACAATATGAAACCATTGAAATAATGATTTTGAAAAGTATTTATCATTATCAGGTGAATTATAAGTTGAGTGGATATATCAGTTAACGATGATGAGTGATAAGAATTATTTCATTAGTATATAACTTAGTAATTAAATAAAAGTCAATGCACTCTGTATTGACATATACTCTATTTGATATAATAAGTTTTTAATGAGTCGATTCAGAGCTACAATGTATGATTCTTTATTCACCGATATTTGTTTTTGGTGAAAATTATGGAATGAGATAAGTTGCTTAGTTTAATCTCAAATACAGAAGAATGAGTTTAAATAATTTGTAATTCATTAAGTTGATTGATCACTGAGTAGTAAGTAATGTCATGTTCATCTAGTCCTTTAATACTGAACTAGAACAGTTAACCAATTTACAATATGGTCACTAGTCTAAGCGACTCAACACTGACCACATTATATTTTGAAGTTTGGCGACTGGAGATAGTCAGTAGGTAAGTTTTGAGATATTTGACACCAGTCAGCAAGACATACTTTCTGTTTTGAGGAAACTGACGCTCTCACGATTTGAAACGTTACCCCTGATCAATTCGGATAGCGGTTGATCCTCTGTACGATTGTGACACTTAAACTGACTGGTGATTTAGAACATACACGCCTAGTTGATGAGTGCCAAGTAACATGAAACCTAGGTGCCCGATCTTCTGTCGACTATCTGAAACTAAAAAAATGTCCGTTCATAGAAATGGACGAATACAACTTATACAATTTTCAATAGTAGTATAGCTATGTTTGATGCGTGAAAAAAATTTAACTTACTATTACAATTGAAACCTTGTGAATTGAGTCCCCATAATAAAAATCCACATACACCACAATCAGCAATACGTTCGTAAGTGTATTCATAAAATAAATGACCTTTGTGAGACCACTAAAATCGTATTGGTTTTTTCCAGAGAAAACAAATACATGACATTCATTAAGAACTAATTCAAATAATAATTTGATTATACGAAAGTTATTGGACAATAACAAAATGTTCGATGATGATAACCAAATATCAGTATTTTTAGGTATTATAATGGTCAGACTGTTTTACTATGCTAGAATCTTCTTCATAGGCAAATCATTTCGACCAGTAGTGTTTCATTTGATTCTGGACTCCGGGCTTCATCTACAGGACCTGGCTCCTGATCATCTGGTATTGTCACAACTTCATGTGCATTCAGCACAGTATTTTCTTGCTGTGAGCCGGACACGTTACAAATATTACGTTCTGATTCAGGTATAAAGGGATTTGAACCCTCCACTAGATATGCTTCTGAAATGTCTGTTACTGCATCATAAACAGATTTCTTATTTTCTGGTCGAGTGAAAAGTGTGTTCAATAGTTGTTGTTGCAAGGCTAACAACTTCTGCTGGTGCTGTAATATTAACCGCAACTGTTCTAAAGAAATCGCCATTTTTCTTTAGTTTTTCCCCGTCGCCACTGTTATATCTCTAACAACTGGAAAACCGTCTCCTCGAAACTGAGCTCTCGAGGTAACTTTGGCAATATATGGTCAGCAAAACGTGCATGTTCACTGCTTCCCAACTTACGTACCAACAATCGGGTCTTCCACGCATCGTCTTGGTTACAGAATTCTGTTCTAAATGTATCTTCCCAACGTTTGAACCACGTGAGAAAAGTATTTCCACCTTCGGGATCATAGATGAATTCTGGGATGCTACTAGCAACTGCATCACAAGACGTACTTGAAATAGCATGTGAACTCGAGCTGTGAATGTTGAGCTGTTGAGTCAGGGTCTCTAACAACCGCATTTGTGCGTCAAGTTGTGCTTGCTGTTGTTGTAGTATTCGGTTAAGCTGGTCATCTGATATGGGCATCTTGAATTTATTTTCCTTTTTCCCCGTCGCCACTGTTATAACTCTGCTTCTTACGGTTGATGGCCCAGCTATTCCTATTGCTTAGTATTCTCGGACACAGATTCACTCGACAAGTCCCCAAATCAAAACACGGTTGAACAGGAAAAAGATTATATTCCAAATAGCAAGGCAGAAGCCAGTAGGAAGCACAATAGGGGAAAACGTCGGTATATTTATAGTTTTTACATAAGAAGAATCCAGAATATTCTCCAACTATCGACTAGCGCTGATTGGATAAGAATTAGCCAATCAGCGTGCACCAAAGCAATCATGCATTGAGCATGCTTTAGTCTAGTCTATGTCCCGCTAACACAACTAAATATATTTAGCTCACAACTACCTATCTTTAGTGTAAAAGATTTTATAACCTTCTAAACTGTAAAGTCACTGTGTATGTATTCAGTGAATAACGATGTGTTCTATAATAAATTAACAGTCTAGAATGAATATATAACTGTAAACATTTGACTAGTTCTCATATTACACTGTGAGTACTTAGTTACGGTATGATTTTTCTATATTACCATGTATTCGTGTATAATGTCCTGACAAAGTGATCTCAATAACCTAATCGATTAAAAAAGGAACATATTTTGCAATGTAATTCATTTCCAAGTTTTAAAAAATCAGTTTTATATTTGACATCAGAGAATGTTATATAATATATCTACCATTAATTTAAATACATGAAACTGAACATCAAGTCTCTATTCCGTTTTAGGGTAAGAAAGTTAATGAAAAACAAAAGCCAGAGACTTATAAAAAAATAGAAATAATAATAACAAACGTTTGTAATAATCAACATGTTACTCACTTTACTTTTACGATTGAGCAAAGAATGTGATTTTTGTTTTGATTTAGCACAATATGGAGTTAATTTTGTCCATAAATGTGAACCAGCAGATGACAGCCCACTTCCAATGCTACCTGATACACTACCTAAACCCAATGCGGATGTAGTTAAATTTTCAAAAGACCTGATTTTGTTTTTTAAAAAAAAAGAAAAGAAAAACATCATAAACAGTTCGTGTGTAAAATATATGGAACTAAGAGAGTTAAAATCAGATACTTTTTAAAGTATCTAGTTGAATATAATTGACAGGAAAGCCTGGACCAATGTTCCACGCTAGTTAAAACTTATCAGAAAGATATACGGGAAATAGAGCTGTTGAATGGATTCGAACACAGGTTACTCAATCCCATAGTCTAAGACATGACCAATGAGCCATCTGGGCTACGACTGACCTTATCATGTAGGACTGAGATATTTACATTGATTGATCTTCAAGTAGAAGCTGATGTATTTGTGGATCGAATTCTATCGATCTAAAAACCTAACAACAAAACATAGAGCAGGTGACGTTGAGTCGCTCAAACTAATAGCCATATTGTAACTTAGTGGACAGAATTGAAACAGTAGTAAAGGACCAGACAAACATGGCACTGGGCACTGATCAGTAAATGAAAATAATTGCTCAATATTTTCTGTTTTGAAGTAATTGTATGGTTGATAATAGTTTGTTACCAGAACTACCATAAAAATATATTCATACAACAATCTACATAGTATCAGTTAATACTAATTGCATGCATACTAATGACTAGTTTCAAGATGGATTTTTCAAGGTCCTTGAAACTAAAGTTGATATTAAAGTAGTAAATCACTGATGGGTCTAAATAAATATTGTACTCTATACCATGAATGCTAACCAGAAAAAGAATAATTTAAAATCAGGGAAATCCAATTTTCAGTTGTCTGATAATAAATGTGACTGCCACAAAAACATGTAGTAGACTGAAAGTTGGATGGATCACAAATTCTGCTGGATCGTAAACCAAGACAAAACAACTTGTTAGTTATTCAATAGCTCTCGATTATTGATATCAGTTTGTAGTTGAGATCTTTTTTTATAATAAAATAATTTCATTTCTAGTTTGACTTTTATTTGTGAATAAACTTAGCGAATAAGGAGGAATGTCACAGTATGAAAATCAAATGATTAGTTTTTACATTTTTACTTTCCTCAAACTAAAAAAACGACGTAACTTTACAAATAAAACAAACAGTAAAAACAAGGTACATCTGCATTCTGTTCGATTGTCTCAAGGTTGTTATTCAGAACTGATGGAATTAATTAATTGATATTTCAATATTGATCTGCTACCTATTCTCCCAAATAGATTCTCTACTATATCGGAGTGAATTAATTTCATGAGTAATTTTTCTTAACCCTTACTCGAAATATGAAAGAAAACTATAGAGTACTTTCTATGACAACAATTATTAACAAAACAATAAAGAATGGTGATAGTGAAATGAATGTTTCTTTTTGAAATGTAAAGGACAGTTTGAAGAATAAAAGAAGTACTACAGTACCATCATTTATCATCATCATCATATCAGATTTCTTTCTGCAATATCTATAGAATTCACAAGTTGAGTTTTATAGTACAAATATTTGTATGAAAACAAGTTAATTGGGAATGAGAAAAACACTGTTCACCTTTCTCTTCACACCACACTATCTAAGGACATCAAATTAGGCTTGCGATTTAGTAGAAATGAAGAAGATTAAGGATGAAATCTCGATTGGTTCATATATACGTAAGATTATACCAATTACGTGCAATCCACGTAACCCACTTGAAATAATTTAACCAAAAAAAGAAATAACTGTAAATTGGAGAGCCACTTTGTATACTTTTCTCACTTAAATCCCATATTGGAATTACAAAATCATCATGTTTACAGGGTATTCTAACCAGAATATTTATGAATTTTTCTTTAGATTGATAAGTCAAGCGTAAAACAAAAAGATCCTTAATTTTATTGGTAGTTTTAAACTCAACTTCTCGATTTTACACTGGGCACTAGTAACATACCTTGCAAAAAGACTATGTCTAATAGAATGTCCAGAATCTCTAGTTTCAGGATAATCTGCACTTGATATCTGAGACATGGAATAATACCGGTGAGCTGTAACCAAACAAGTAGTAATCGCCTGAGTAATTTGTTCATATGTAACTGATCCAGATGTGTTTGGCAATCGACATATGCTAAGAGCAATTGGATTGTCTGTACAACTTCCGGTAAACAGTTGATGCAATGCATCAAGGTAACTACTTAGACGCGATTCGAAACATGCTAATTCTTCTTCTTTATTACGAAACAGAACGAAATCAATTGGCTCAGAAAGACACCATGTATCCATACCTGGTTAAAAGGAAAAAACGTACAATCAAATATAAAGACAATAATTTTCAGTGATAGCTAAAGGTGAGTAATATGAATAAAGTCTGTAAAGTACATTTCCTTTAAGGTAGGATATAAAGCAAAACAAACTAAAGAGTGGAGTTTAGAAGCTGGATTTTAATTACATTTAAACTGTGTATTAGTGGCTAGATAGAAAATAGGAGAAAGTAATAGAATGTCTGAACTAAGATATGAAAAACGTACACGATGACATTGGCTATCGCCCTAACGTATGGTGGTAAATGAAAACTATCTGGTGAGGGTCTATTCTATAATCACACTAAATAGTTGAAATTCGGGATCGATCATAGTGGCACAGATCCATTCACTCTTCAGTTCAACTATTCCTTCATACAAACTACTTAATCCTGCATTTTCGTAACATGTTTTCAACACATAATCTTTCTATCACTGTTACTAAAGTTATTTTGACTTCATTGCTATTCACCTTGTTAAGTTTCATCTAGTCACGACGATACGGTATGGAAGCTTTGATCAATGCATCTTTTTCCAAAACTCTAAGTGACTTAAAAACTCTTAGGGTTATGATACTGTTCATTATTAGGAAAGTGAGCATACTTCAGATCGTCCAAAAGTAACAAAATCTATAGTGAATTAAACTACATTTATTAAAGAAAAGATAACAATAGTTCGTCTAATGTATGGTAGAAAGTATATCATATACACAGTGAGGTATCAGTTTTAAAATCAAGCAAAAGTGTATATGACACTTTGCCAACCCACCAAGAGATATCATTTATGAACCTCCACTGAGAATCATAATAGGTCCATACAAAATGAACAACTGATTTGATAAGCAAACCGTATGCAAGTGAGACGGTGAAGTATAAAATTTACCTAGATTAATTGCCTCAGCTAATTTGGAAACTTGTACTTCAATCTGATTCACACACTGTTGATCAATAACATTGAACAATTTCGAGCATTCATTAAAATCAAATGACTTCAACACAACTGGAGTTCGTACATCTAAACGCAACGGCTAAAATGAAATGAAACAGGAATCAATAAAAAAGATAATTTACTAATTTTATATACATTTGTTACCGAACAATATGATGCAATATGATGTTTATAATTTCATGAATTCAAATGCAAGAATTCGAGTGGTGGGTACTACTTGTGCAGACGGGTATGGGTAATATGTAATATGTAGTAGGAATAGGATGTAAAATGCTTACCAGCATAAGATTGAGATGAAGGGAAGAGGAATGAAAGCATGACGCGAGAGGAATAACAACAGAATCGGAAGAATGGTGGAGTATGTAAAGGACAGCTCAAGGAAGACATGCAAATGATGTATGATTTTCATATTTTACAGAGGGACTGTGTAATTTTGCATAAAACAGTGCATTGGTTTACCGTACCTGAGTTTTCGTCCACTACATTTCTACTAGTGTACACGAGATGCGAAAATCTCAAAGACGTAGTTTCAGGTTTGCATCAACGAATTTACGGTGCTAAACATTTAATTTTTTTAGAACATTAAAACTCCTAATATCATCATGTAATTGGATTTTTCAAATGACGTTTTTATGTAAATTTTCTTTCAAGTTCTAGTACGTTGGATGGTAATTAGAAGTGTCATATTCACGTTGAATTCTCTGTTGCTTTGGTCAGTCACTAAGTTTATCAACTTGTTTCTTACATCACCTACAACTATTTAACTGTACAACAAACAGTTCAAATAGGTTTTTGAATGTAATTAAAATTATAAAAACAAGAAGGATAGGACACAAAGTGTATGAATAGATATAGTTAAGATCAATCTGCATTTATATGTTTGAAAGTAATAATACAGGGTGGGACAGGTGTTATAGTTACCAGAAATCATAATAAAGATAAAATAGATCATATAAGGGTAGTGGAAACTGATAAGTGATTGGGTAATCGCTCAACATGATAAAATAAACAAATGTGTGAACATCAATATGACTATGTAAAGGATGAATATCAGAAGACGAAAAAATAATAAAAATCAAAATGTTGGAGAAAGGGTTGGAAAAAAGTGGAAATTAAAATCTTGTGGTTGGAGAAGAAAGAAGGCTATTCAGCTAAATGGGTCGCTTTCGTTACGCAAATTTATTTGTTGTGTTATACCCTAAATTAAAATTAGTTAGGCTTATTAGATAAACACCTAATAACCATGTCGAAGGAATCACACTTTCCTTCTGCATACATCGGTCAAGTCGGTAAAGGTCTGATAGCGATCGGCTTTGCAAAATAGAGTAAGATTCATGTATTTTGTCTGTTAACTATTTTTATTATTACATCGTTAATGTTTAGATGATAGTTCAGTATAATTTGTCTTTGCAAAAAAATGTTGTGATCATCATCGTAACTTTCGAATGAAATGTAGATTTACTAAAATATGATAATTTTATTTCAGAATTGTTAATTTCTAAACGATGGGTAAAAAAAGTTATTTAACATGGAATCAATAAATTAAGTACTGACCGATGATATATCTAATGAAATAATTTTCCAAAGCACAACTGAAGGTTGGCAGTGATATCAACGACAGAAATAAACTGAGCTATTCGCTAGTGACTAGCATATTTGATTAAAAAAACGTCAACATATGATCAAATTACAAATAACAATAATAGTTATAATAATAATCCCATGATTTACATACGTAAAAAACATTGTGACTTACAGACTTTTCATGTAGAAACGTTGTAAATATCTCCAGACAAACACGTTTTTCATCTTTAAATAATTCTTTTGACGAAGCCATTGATCGTTGAAAGTATTGGTTGACAATGTGGAAAAGCTAAAAGCATGGAATATATACTGATTTACATTTATGGCGATTTTATACAATATCCATCGATACATTTCAAATAATCTAAAGCTCTAAACAAATAACTGATTGCTCAGATGGAATCAATCTATGCACAGTCCAAAATAATTTCGGTTAGAAAATTCTGAAAAAAATTGCCACAGAGAACTTAAGCCTTAAATCGATCAGTTATAATCAAGGTATAGCCTTGGGAAAATGTGAGTTGTCTCACATCGCTATGTCACATCGGCAAGAAGAGATAATACTGATAAAATAGATAGTTAAGGAAACGAAATAATATAGTAGCAAAGATAATAAGAAAAACTGAACATTGACAATATGAAATGAAAAAGTAGGATGGGAAGGTATGTACGAAAGAATGGTGGAATTTAACATCAAGAGAAGGATAAAGAATGAAACCAACTAAGTGGGTTAATTATAATGTTTATAATTGCTCACAAAATCCATAAACAGTGATCGTGGTTATTACACAAATGATCCTGATAAGGTAATCAGCAGTTCAACACTCAATGACCTCACGGAACGATCAAGCCAAGATATGTAATCATGGTTTGATCGTTCCTAGCTTCCTACCAAAATATACGTACGACAGACGACAATGCGTTTCGAAGTAGATGGTGGTTGGGCAAGTGTAATACATCTTTACCACTACAGTCAATGAATATTAACAACCACATAAACAGATTTCCCATCTTTGTGTAGCGGTTTGCGTCTAGCCCTGATATTGCTCACTCGATAACAGAAAAACACCGAAAGGTACTTATGATCAAACACTAGTAAATTGCCGATGTCCTCTATTTTTAAAGTCCACAGTCAGAGCGAAATCCTACTCAGTATATTAGTCGTATGTTTCAGAAATAAACATTCACCAACATCACAAGTGATGCAAGTTAACAAAAGCGAAATAACCTTTTTGAGTTTTCGCTGAGAGTATTTATACACTGAAACCACTTTCCTTATAGTTAATCACAGTGTTTTTGCATACGATGATTGCTGTGGAAATCCTTCATTCTAAAATAATCTAATGAACGGCAACAGGGATCCATAAAACAAGGTTGAGTTTAGGAATTTCTCTATAAAAATCTTCCGTTCTCTTTAGTGTAGTAAGACTGCATGATTAGGAATGTAAATCATACTGCTAGTACAACCACTTATAATTAAATGTACGCTCTTATTATCGGGTCGATAACTAGCGAATATTAATCCAAAGTACTTGCACTATAAGCATACTAATATCCGACTTCCCTGACGTGGAACAAGTGCCGCAATCAGTCTGGCTCAACGAGGTCACTGTATTAAGCTAGCACAAACATTTTAAGGTAGAAACTAACCTATAGTAAAAGAAAATCAATTAAGTAATGAGTTTAAATATACAAAATAACAATTAACTATAGGTTGACTAAAAAGATGAACATCTGTACTTACCGTCCATGTAGGATCTCGTTTATGAGAAAACAAGTAATCGATAAACATAGCACACTTAGCCGGACTATTCATTACTGACGTTGCACTGTCGAATTCTGATGATAAGTGAGCAAGATCATTTGCAATGCTAAGCTGGAAATAAGAAAATATAATGCAGAAGATATACAGTGAATTGTTGAAACTGTAACCTGCTACTGTTTCACAGAATGATGTTTGCAATAAGTTACCAGAAAAAAAAGTAATTTAACCTGAAGATCTAAGGATAAAAATTGTCATTTATTGATATCACCAAAGAACTTAGTTAAGTTGAAGATAGTTGTATTCAAAAACCAGGTAATCTATATGCAAACAAGATTCACTGGTTAAATAATTTTCTGAATATTCTTTAACTATTATGATACAGTGGTATTCCTACATGTCCGACATTTCTTTCCAGCAGTCAATTTCATAAATTTCTTATAACGTCTAACGAATATGAATTTAATAACTCGAACAGTCACTGAGCAAAAACATTTAAACAGTAAATAAATACCTCACAAAAAACCTTGTGTTTAATCGATTTGAAAATAGAATATAATTTGAGAGATTTAAGAGACAAAATAACCTTGAATTTCATTCCATATACACTCCTCACACTGTGTAATTCGCTCTGATTAGTAATTTGTTAAAGAAAATCCATTTACTGAGTATGACAAATGAAAGAAACAAAATAGGCAATCTCTAGGAGACGTTGAAGCAGATAAGATTTTATTATCAAAAATAAAACAATTTCAGAGTATTACGTAATATTAACCAAATAAATATATGATAAATACACTGGACGACTTGCAAATATTCGAAGTGATATGCTTTGACAATCAAAATACAAAGTACATATATTGGTCAAAATTATGATGCACATCAAAAGCATTCCATAATAATCGATTATTATTATTATTATCATTCAATTCATTCTAATTGGAACCAGAATATCGATTAGATCAAAACAGAATTTCGAATAAATAATGTACGAGACGAAAGTACAAGAATCACATGTAAAATACAGTTAGTGTACAGACAACGCGCACATACGTACATTTCACCCCCCACCCATATATATATATATATATATATATATATATATATATATATAGAGAGAGAGAGAGAGAGAGAGAGAGAGAAGCAAACAGACATCATGTAAACAAATTTTTGATACTTTACGAAATATATCATGAATGGATTGTAATTTGTAAATATCTTAAAACCGTAACGCAAATATATACATATCAGAGTATCTAATTTCGAAATTCAACGTATTCCAATTCACGGAATAAAAAATAATACCTTTCTTTTCTCTTTAATAAATCAATATTAAGATTCGTTTGCTAAATGAATGATGTTTTGTGCAAGACAATGTAGACACAGTTCTCTCTCTCCATATATATATATATATATATATATATATATATTGGTCAGAAATCCGACTATAACAAATTAATTAGGATGATCAGAAAATATTGATTGGTGATAAATTAAAAAAAGAGACTGAATTAAAATGAGATTAATATTGAACTAATGAATTATTGCAATATTAATTAGAAACCATTTAGTAGTTAGTTTGGAAAATATTTTTAGTTAATATATTCATATCGATAGAGTTCAATTTTAAAAGTTAATTGTAGAATGTAAATTGTTTATTACAAGATTATAAAATATAAATAAAACAAAATAGAGATAAATATTTTGACGATTATTCAACACTTGAATTATTGAGTTAATCTAAGTTAGACCATCATTGAAAATCTGGAAACACTGGACAACCGTTTCGTTCTAGTATAGGACTCCTCAGTAGTGAGCATCACCATACTGACAAAAATATTAAGTAAGCAATGTATGATATTATTTAAATAGTAATAAGAATACAAAAAGCTTATTGGAGTTATATTATGAAAGGTATATTTGAGAATACTTATAATGAACTCTACAAGATATTATAATTAACTGAAAATGCCTATAATGTAGTTGTGTTATTCAGTGATGTGAATTTAAATACAAGATTCGAAATAAATGTTAATGTTAAGTTCTACATAAATGATGTAGAATTCTATTTTACTTAGATGATATCTTCAAATGAAAAGTATCTTTGAAGAAAACTGATAAGCCTTTAAATTGTATGTAGTAGTAATTACTCGATAATCGATTAGCATTAACAACACACATTTATTTCATTTCCTTATTATATGATTGATTTAGTTTATCATTTATGGGATCTTTAAATAGTTCATGATCTTTCCAACGTTACTTTATTGTTATTAAGTTGATGATACTAATTAGGTAACTTTGTGCATATATACACGTTTATATTGGAGATAAACACTAGTGATATGTATTATGAAATAGGTTGATCTTACACTAAATTTAAGTTATACAAACCAGAAATAGGTTACATTCTCTTTTCTGTAGGTACAGAACTGTTGAACACAGTGTAATGTATAAATATAGTAATAATAAAAATAATAAGAACGAAATCGGAGCACACAAGAAATGAGTTCAATTTACTTTATTTATTATTTCTGAGAAAAAAAAGACAGGGAATGGATGAATCTATGAAAACACTATATAGGAAAGAAATAGTATAGAAGAGTGAAATACTTCATATATGGTACTGACCAAATGAATTTCAATGAATAGCAAAATGTTACTAACTATGTCCGCTAAAATTAATGAAAGATTCAAAGGTTATGATAAGTCATATTAATCGAATACATGATTGTATACTTGCTTTTAGGTCATAATTTTCTACGTGTATGTAATATAGAAATCCTACCCTATTGTCACATCAAAGTTAGTGGGTCACGATTTGAACATACAACTTACTGTTCCAGTGCCTCCTCATTATATTAAAAGTTGCTTCATCCATGACCAACTAATTGTTACTGAACAAAATCACATGATACTGATTATTATCCAGAGACCAACAAGTGCACAGATGTTTCACAATACACAAGTAACACTCTATGAGTATTATTAATCAATAAGGTAGAACAAATTCACGTCATTCATATATAAACATTAGTTCAACTCTTAACTCAATCATATATATACATATATATTAAAAGGGTGAGATGTGGAAAGACAAATGATTGATTGATAAGTATTTCTATAAACGACGTCACCATAGTTTAGTGATAATATATACATATATACCTTAAAAAATCGTTAAGAAAACGTTGAACGCTGTGTTGATATGTGAAAAGTTTACAATTGAATACCAAAAGTATATTAAAAATAATATTTAATTTATAAACAAATACTGTTTATCTTCAGATAGTACGAAGAAACAAAAATTACTGCCAATCTATTCATTACATAGAAGAAAACAATGATGAGTGACGTAAAGAAATGAGTACAGTAGAAAAGTTTCAATGGAATGGCGATTTTAAAATTTAATTAAAAAACAAATAAATAAATAAATAAATATATGTGATTAAAGATTATGATTATGATAAGACAAATGAAATTGTAATGAGAAAAATTAATCCACTAGAGCTGAACTCTAAAACAAACCAATCTAGAATACATATATGTATATCGGGCTTAAATTAAGAGTAAACAAATGGGAAAAACAACAGATTTAAATATTAAACTAAATGTCAATACTGTTGTTATTATTAGTAATATTGACAATCTTGAACACTTTTGTCGTACTCAATGCCATTGTGGTGTATGCTATTGATGTCGATAGATATAAGTAGTATGTATCACCAGTCGAAAGTGTGATGCATGGTGGCAGAAGGTTGATAAGATCGAAGAGAAGAGGACGAGAACAGACGGTGATTAGTATGGAAATAAAAGAACAATAAAGTTTGAGATAATTGATTGACATCTTGCAAATGAAGTATTTACTGTATAGCTCTCAGATCTTACTACGAGATTCTGCAATTATGTACTCGAATACACTTGGTTGTCCCCGCTTGTGTTTTCGTTCACTAGACCGTTAGTTGATCAACCCTAGATTTGTTGTCGCGACTGTTGTGTGAAGTGAAGGAATTAGAAGCAGACATTTTTCTTCTTAAACTTGCAACTGTAAAGTATAGAGATATTTAACAACGTTTACTACTGATGCTTATAATTGTTATACAGTTATATATATTCTTCCGTAACGATGTTGTATTCCATTGCACAAGAACGGTTTGCATAGTAAAATTATTGTTGTTATCACTATTCTTGATCGTTTATGTTTCAGTGAAAGCTGAATATCACCAATTATTCTAAGGCTCAATATTCTTCATGTAACCGCAGCAAATGGCAAGATGATTTCACAATAGCTAATTATTTTATTTCAAACAATGTGAACGATGTAAAATTAGAGTACTTTTTATAAGAGTTACATTTGTGATTGTATTTACCGATTAATTATTGTAATCTCAGGAAATCAACAATTGGTTTGCACTAATTGTTTAATTGATCCATAACGTAAATCTAACTTATGTATGAGGTAAAAGATTTCTATAATCCGCTTTGGTGTAAGAGCAACTAATACTTGGGCGGTCGAACTGATTAAGCAGATAGATGAAATGGGTTTTGAATCTGCCCCCAAGTGATTAAAAGAAACACCGGAACTGTAGCCACTAAACTATTAATAATTTACCTTCACTTGAGATAATTAACCATTGTTGTAATACAAATAATTTCAATACGATTATTAATAGATAGAAAAACCATGAATACGATATAACCCATAGCATATACTGAAAGGAAAGTATAAGGAGTTGAAAGATGTTACAACACATTCAGTTGCAAATTAGATTATAGTTTAAAGTATGGACAGCGAAACTCACATCACTTTCACCTTCATCGTCGAAATTCCTACCCATAACACGACCAAGAGGTGGTGTACTACTAGAAAACTAAAATCACAAAAAATAATAAAATAAAATAATAAAGAATGAAATACACACTTGTTCACATTGAATAGAAACTATCTAAGCTCATTACAAACTGTACTGTATATTGTTTAGCCTTGAAAGATGGCTACTGAGATTATTTTACAGAAAAAATCTTTGTGTTTGTCAGTTTTTTGACTAAATAAATCTTCCGATTCCCTACGAAAATTCAAATGAGATCACTGACACAGTATTTTATCATTAAATTCGATACGAAACACATTGTAGAGAGAGAATCCCCGGTTAATGGCGCATCAGTGAATAAGATAATCAATAAAAAGCGATTGGAAAATTTAATGAGAAAACATCAAAATGTTTTGATTTATCCATAAAAGTTTATCTAAGAAATTATACGAATGTTACTATGATACAAACATTTACTGTCCTACAATTTGTTCATTTGACTCTCCAGCTATGTTAGTGCCATAATTTACACTTCTAATGCTAAGTTTTATCATGTTATTCTTTGTTTGCTTTAATTAGTTACATAATTCACTGAATGCCATAAATTGAAAAAAAGCTGAAAATAACTTCGAGATCAGTGAACAGTTTAGTGGCGGAAACATTGTCACTGGTGCTAAAGTCTATACTACACAAATAATAATCACGTTAGTGTTAGGGTTTCTAGTTAAGCACAAAAGGTCACTTCAAATAGAAACCACAAATTTCCAAACTGACCAATGTATCAAAGAGAAGTATTCATTTACCTTTAAATAAAACTTGTTTGCTACGCTTATTTTTGTCATAGTTAAGGTGTTCAAGAATCGAAACTAATCCATATTGTCATCAGTATTGGTAGTTTTCAAAACTCACCAGACTTAACTAATTTCAACTGATCAATCAATACCTGAGGTTTTATCTTCTCATATTGACAATATAAATTAAAATATGCACAATAGTTTGTTGTATTATTTTTTTCTTTTTTTGTAAACATTCAAGGTTGTATTGGTATTCAGGGTATATATATATATATGAAAAAAATGCAAAACTCAAGTAGGTCAAAAGCATCTCATAGAGCTTGCTATATGTAGTTTATCGATTAGAAATAAATTTATACACCTATGAAGTAAGCAAGTGCACAACCACTCAACCTTGCACACAAGCACAAATACAGATAGTAAACCTACTTCTGGATGAAATGTGTTAATTGCAAACAGAATAGTTGAAGGTTTGGAGAGAGACAATGATAATAGTCAAGTAACTCTAAAATATCAAGTTGAGTTTTAAACTTACATGTGTGTTTGTGTGATATAAAAAGTTTTATTTACGGAAATAAAGGATTCACAGAGGATTTGAATATCAAAGGTTTCTAATTTATTGAATAAAAAGATCAAGTTTAGCGCAATATGTAAACAGACAATTTTATTTAATTTCAGAGTTATGATATGGTGGTTAGGGTGTATGATTTTCATTTAAAAAGTCGCAAGCTCGAAACCAAGTATGTGAACATATGCCTGGTCAATTGTTTAATTTAATTCTCAAACTAATAATTACTAATACTAACCAGCATTAAATCAAACAATATATATTTGACAATTTAATATCTTTTGGTAGGGAAATGTATTAGGATATTTGTATAACACAAAGTATTTCTTTGAAAAACTAGTCTTTTTTCTTATTAATTAAATTTCAATGGAATACCAGAGAAATGTTAATAATTTTCTTAGCCCTCTTCCCGATATATCAGCATACAAAGTATTTGTTATGATTGTCTAAAGATCCCCATCATATTAAAAGACTAATATTTGAACGAACAATATTCTTTTCGAAAAGTTCTCTTCAGGTCTTACAATTATATATCCAAATTAATAATCCGAAAAATGGCCAGGTTAAGGGCAAAGTGCGTCGTTTAAAGTTAAAGCATATTAATTTAGGACTATCAAAAAAGTAGAATAAAATTGTTAATGTTGATATGACTCAATGGGATGTTAACTTGAATTAGCTTATATATTAAATGAGAATTTCAAGATCCATGATCAGAATAAATATGGGTCAGATAGGGTGAGAGAAATAATAGTGTAATTACAATTTGATCAAATGTTTAATGAAAGACTATATTGTATAAAAAATTAATAAGACATAATAAGGTGGGATGAATGAGAAGTAAATAAATCATGTATTGAGGAGACTAATAAGGATGTTTAACCAATAGTAATAACAATAATAATACAAAAATTTGTGAAGAAAGATAACAGAGACAATTACATTTGACTACGAAAGGTCGTATAGTTACAATTGAGCGTAACTTAATAATGAAAACTGGCCGACATCCCCATGATAGTAACATTTAAACAGTAAAATGGGTCTTAATAATGCTGAAAGTATGTTTTGTTGATGAAAGATTCAAAATGGTAAAATTTAAAGCTTCTAAATGATTACTAGCAATCATAACAACATAGTAAACCTTAATTTTTACTAGCTATGATTTGACTGCTTAAGTGATAACTTAAGACAAATTAATATACTCAATATTTATGGCAAATGAAATCCAGCATCTTTACAGCTTAGGAAAATAAAGCTGTACAAATGATATAACAAATATTCTCTGTCCATCTATTGGTATACAAAAGTAAGCAAGAGGCAATTTTCAAAGACGATTTGGTTAAAAAAGCGATTATCAATATTAAATTATTACACAAAAATCCTGCGAACATAATAGAGTTTTAATAAAAACGAAGTAGTGAAATTGTCTGCAACGTTTTAAATGTTCAATAAGCGAGTTTGGATGCATCACTTTCGGTCACTTTTCCATCTACTTAGTACGTCAATCCTGCATAATAGTGTGATTTACATCAAACATTTAATTTTAAGTGATAAATTTCACTACATTTCTGTTTCTAATCCTGCATTTAGGGATGCGCTACACTGACGTATTCATAACACAATTGCAGATAGCTCCAGAAACTGAATGAAACCACTTAGTTAAAAATACACTCAAATATGCAGCACTCACCAATCAAATGAAAGGAAAAATTGATCTAAAGTGCTATATGTAGCACATTTATTGAATAGTGAAAACACTGCTGATAATTTCAGATAAGTAAAAGACACTGATTATGGACGGAATGTATTTTTTAATATCTCACAGAAAAATAGACATTTTCATGAACATTTAAACAAACGAACAAACATTAAATATAAATTATTCTCTTGCATGTTGGTGACTTACGCGAAACAACAGGTGTGATTTATCTAACCAAGGATTTTGTTATTTTTTTAAGACTATTTATCCTTACTGTTTCTAGGTCAGTTCAATTCATCTATTATTTATGCAGTTATAAAACAAAATCATCATGTTAAGTTCAGTTAACTTTCGACTGTCTAATATTGATTTCCACTGTGTCCAAAGAAAGATATGTATGTGCATCACTAGTTTTAGTACAAATGATTAAGTAAAGGGTATAATTCTTACTACTACGACAGCTAGTCATACGCAACGTAGAACCTGGCATATGTGTACACAGATTTTAATTTCCATAACCCGTTAGTATACCTAAACGAAATTTTCAGGGCAAATTCCAGAGCAATAGAGGTAGTAACGGTATTAACTATAACGGAAAATATTAGGCATCGGAGAACAGTTTTATTGGGAAGAAAATTCACTAATTTTATTTATTAGTGAAAGAGAAAGATCATAGTTGAATCATACAGTAAATGGTGTACAGTTCAGAAGTGTTATAATACATAATCATCAGTCGGATTCATTCAAATAATAAAGTGTTTTGTCTAGATTAAGTTCAAGTATCTTCTTGTACGAATGCCGAAAACTCATCTAACCAAGGCTTTCCTAGACTAAATTATCTATGGTCACAATAGAGTAGTGTATACACTATTCAATTATGCACATTACAACAATAATAGTTTTCTTAAGATAAGTTATCCAACAAAATTTCAGGAACATTTTGTGTCCCGATATCTGACTCTAATTTGATCGTAGGATGATTGCTATCGAAATATACATATCGTCAATCCTCGTATTTATATTTATAGTCAAATCGAATCGAGGCAAGGCAAAGGCTAAGTGAGGCAAAGCAAGGCAAGGTGAAGAGAATAATTAACAAGGTCAAAATGGAACTCAAGAAGAGTGAATAAGTTGGTCTGTCCAGATGCTAGAATAAGCTATATAAGCTTGGCATACAAACTCTTTAGAAAAAATCATAAAAACGAGTTTTTATCAGAAAACTAGTGATATTGATGAATAAAAAGAAATTTGAAGCAACTAGTCACTGACAAATTTCGATAGTGTAATAAGAAGACAAAGGTTATCAGAACTATGTGATATATTAGCGTAATACACTTCGAACAATCTGATCACATACAAACTTGTTAAGGACATTTGTATATAAAAATAAAAGGTCAACTAGACTAGAAATGGAGGGTAAGAGGAGACAAGGATAACAAATAAAATAATGTGAAAACAATTTGAAACCTCATCACTCTGGATAATAAGCTAATAATACCAGGTGACAACAAACTGATTTTGAATACACAAAGGGGGTTTGAATTTTCGTATGGCTAAGGCTTCAATAAGCCTTACTATACGCCCTTTTACACTTTTGTATAACACCACAAAAGCCGTGTTAAGATCAATCTTATGACCTGTTTCAGCTATGTCTTTGGCAATAGAGGATGATGAATATTTATCCTCAACTCTTATTGGATCATTAGACTTTATTTGTTTCTGCAATGAAAAGAAACGAATTATACTAATATGCAAATATCCTATTTAAATTAACATAAATACAGAAGCATTATTGCATTTTTGATAAAAGTCAATGCAATAAAACAAGATGCTACTTGATAAACATGAACTGAATGACGACAATGATGATGAAATATTACAAGGAAATGTACTTTGAATTACATGTTGATTTGTTTCAAAAAGGGACAGAAATAAAGGAAAAGATAGGAAGGACGGGTAAAGAAAACAGAAAAGTATGATTAGTATTTTGATTATATTTTTATGAAAAAAACCCATATAATAAATAATAAATGTGAACAGAATACACGTAGGTAATATGTAGAATATGCAGTGAAACAGACAAGGATTCTCTTGGCGGCATATTGGCTGTTTCATTAGATTAAAATGAAACTGAAACTTATTAAATAGATACTTAAGAAAAAAACCAGAATATTAATTAGAAATAGAAGTAATAAGTAGCACAATTAGCGATACAAAATAAGACATCTTTAGTAATAATAGTAATAATAATAATAATACTCCAAATTGAAAGTGATCTATGCTAATAAAGAAAATTTTATTTATGACAAAGTGAACAATAATCTTGGTGACTACATCGTAATTTAATTGCCCAATTCGTTTATCTAATGATTTAAAATAAGTTCCATTTCTTTATAGTCAATGAATATTTGCTAATATAACTTTCTACTATGTCAGTTCACAAATGTATTTTTATAAAACAACAAATTTATTCAACAAAATGGTACAATGATAATACTAGTAATGGTAATCATTTCGTTGGAATAGTAAATCATATTAGAAGTGATCTAATAAAGTTGAATGGGAAAATTGATAGTTAGTCATTCAGTTATCAGTAACACAACCTGGGCACAAATAGGCAATCAGTCCACGTCCCCATACCACATCAACATAAGTAGATGAAATTATCAAAAAATATCCAACATAGTAGTATTAATGATAGTAAAAGAAAATAGTCATAGAAAATACGATTTGAAAAGAACGAATTCATAGAATACAAAGTATAAAATAGTTTTGAAACTCAAGATTTAACTATAGAGATGAAAAATGTGTGCATTTGTGTCACTAAACAAATTCAGAAGACCGTTATCCAACTTCTCCAAACATTGTTCATGGTAATCGCATCGACTCCAAGAAGCTACGAACTAAATATTGCACTAGATAATCCTATACACATTTAAAGCTTAGTAGGTTAAGCACTTGTTCCCTTAGACCAGTAAGTGATTGATTTAAACCGCTTCATGTGACTTCACTTCAGCCAGGCAGATAATATAATCACTAAACTTGGTAATTTCGTTGACAAAAATAACCAAACCACTTATTCAACTGGTGGATGATGAAGACTTACATGAATTGAACATAATCCATCATTCATTAATTCAAAAATACCATAGAAAATATATAATGATGTAAGCTAAGATTTATTAAAATGAGTCCATGATTGGTTTTCCAAGGAATATCAGACTAAATACACAATTTTCAACAAATTATTGTCAATATCACCTAGGTATAGTAAAACTGAAGATTGATAGATAATACTCACACAATTCTGACATTTCAATCAGATAGAACTAACTTAAATGCATATATTTATAACCTATTATACAGTTTCCAAGCATTTATCAAAACGGACAGTAAATTAGTTGTTTACTTTACATTCATTTGGCCATTGGAACATTTAATTTAATCATTTATAAAAGATCTTAAATTTTATAATAAAATATGTAGTCAATAGATTGAAGAATGTGAATGTCACAAGACAAAAAAAGCACGAGTTCATAATTTAAAACAGCCAATTGGCAGTTACTTTACATTTTTATATAGTGGATGCACAAGGACAGATATTGTATGACGCCTGAATAAACTACATAAATGTCAAATTTTTCAACATACAGTAGGTGAGATTGAAATTTTCAGACTATTTGTTAAATGACTGACACTCGACATAACCAGTAATAATGAAAATGGTATACCTGTAGTTAACATATTCATTAAAATATTTGCCTTTAAGTATTTTTTAAAGAATTTGTAAATAGTTATTGAAAGGAGAATGGACAACAGTAGATGTTGTAACATTTTTGAAAAATACTGTTAAAAACAATATCAATGACAATCCAACTCAGTAGCCAAGTGCATGTTTATGTGTGGGCTAGTAAATACCATATTTGCCTGCTGAAATAAAGTGGGTGGAATAAAGTTCGAACCTGAAACTCAATAGTTGAAAGTCGAGTTCGTTATTTATTAAGTCATCACTACAAACAGTTATTATTTTCGTTTCCTACATTAAAAAAAAACAAACTACAACACAAAAGCTAAAAATAGTGTTTTTTGAATAGTCGAACTAATCTCCTGAATTGACTTCCTGGATGATGTGAATCCCAGGTGACAAACATCAAAATCAATTAATATGGAGTGAATGTATTCACTCGTCATCATGTTTCTATTCTTTAAAACCTTAAACATTTGATTACTTTTCATGTCTCTGTCTTTATCCAAGCTACGGACTAGGTTTCTAGTTTTGATTTCATCACATTTCCGTGTGCCGACTTGAAATGATAGATTTACTGTAAGAATCCATGTCTGTTCGTATATTTTATTAGTTTCGCATTCTTCGAATCAGTCACTATCATCTGCACTAAACGGACAAAAAACGTCATTGATTGTCTTGTTCAACGATGATAAACGCTAAAGTAATAGTATTGCAGTGAACGAGAACCAATTTATTATTCAACGTAAAATTACAAAATGCCTTCGTAAAATATGAAAACCATACATTAAATACATTATTTTCACAACTTCCTTCAGTTGTCTTTTACATGCTTGATGATTCGTTAAATTCCGTTGTTATCATAATTGCAATTACAATAGCATGCACAACAGTACAAAGCTATCGTCTTAAATAGTAGATTAGTCTGTTTAGGAAAGAGAGAGGTGAAGAGAGAGAAGATGCACAGTACACCATCCCATTACACATATTCATATATCAGGTTTATTTATCTATCAAACTAAAGTGCTTTCACAATAATTAATGAATCATACGTTTGAGAAAAACAATTTATAGAGTTTCTAGTGTCATTCAGAAACTATGGCTGATGGTACTTAAAAACATTGTTGGGACAATTTCTTACGATATTAAATAACAAACGAACCTTTTCGAAATCTCCTACGTTAAAAATGAATGAAACATGTCAGAGGTTAAAAGTTGACAATTCACGATGATGGACAATAAAATCGACACATCAATCAATCAATAGCGTTAAGGAAAAGACGCAAAAATCGTACGTTTATAGGACGTACCGTTGACTGATCCTTGAGATTACCGGTAGTTTTCTTATTTGATGTACCATTAGATTTAGAATGACCAGGGAAAGACATTCGAGATAACGACTTAGAACTACAACTGCTAGTACTACCACTCCCATTACTGTTATTCTTATTATTCGCAGTTGTAGTATCACGAGATGATCCATCCATAGAACTATCTTCCTCCCTCAGACATTCTGGATGATTTACGTCCTAAAAAATGGTGAAAAAACAATAGGAGATCAATTTATGTTTTCTTAAGAGTCATAGTAATCTATGTTGCAAGATCTTGATTGAATTCATCCGGTTATTTTGGTGAACATTAATTTCCAGTAACAGACAACTAAACTGAATCAATTACATACGGTTGCTAAGAATTAACTCTGCCTGGAGCCCTTATAGAGTTACTGCTGGTCCCAGGCCCGGAAAAGAGAGCAGTGTTGGGCTGAATAAACTTTCTTTTAAGAGTAGAAGGGTCTTTCATATAGAGGAGTAACGGCACCTCATTATGAAGGCCGGGTTTCTTCGGAAGCCACAAGGCCGACGGTCCTTCTAACAACCAGAACAATAAACGTAAGCACATGGAATGTCTAGACAACGATCGGAAGGATCATTCAAATAGCAGCAGAAATGAGAAGATAAAACCTGGCTCCGCTCAGAATAAGAGGAACTCATTGGAGACAAGCTGGACAAAAAAAGAATAGCTTAGGAACAGGTTTTATTATATTCTGGTCACGAAGAAAAAATTCCCCACATACACAAGGAGCTCCATTGACGCCCTACAAAGATGATTGATAAGCGCTTATGGGATACGAAAACTACGGATTCGAGATCACCAAAACATTCTTCAAAATAAAGAAGGAATGGATTGTAATGAATGTCATACACTGCTACGCTTTTGATAAAAATAGAAGAGGTGCTAGGAAAAGTGCACCAAAAAGAGACCTGACCATCTAGATAAAAGAAATAAAAACACTAAGGTCAGGATGGACAACACCATGGGGCAATATGAACTGAGAGAAAGGCATAAAGGTGGTGAGAAACTGACAGATCCATGTGTTTTTAACAACATAGTTATAGGTGGTAGCATTAATTCTCACAGACGCAAACAAAGATACATGGGTTTCGCTAGATCACACTACAGAAAACCAGATTAACTACATCTATATGAAGAAAAACTTCAGAAGGTCCATTGAAGATGTAAGAACAAAGAGAGGAAATGATGTAGCTACAGATCACCATCTGGTGATGACCAAGTTAAAAGTGAAGCCAAGGAGGCTTTAGACAATTTGAAGAATTGGGAGGAAGAACAGGTGTCAACAGACTGGAAAGAGAGACATCTCATCGAAATACCGAATGGAGATCGAAATTAGTATGAGAAATACAGGTATCACACTACTATCAGTATCAGATAAGATCTCAACAGAATTTTATTTAACCGAATGTAATCTAGACATCTAGCTTCGAGATCAACAAGCTGCATTTAGTAAGGATAAATCAAGCGCTAATCAAATGGTGACACCAAGGATCATTGTTGAGAAATCAATAGAATGGAACTTACTAATATACATCAACTAACTTGATCATAGGGAAGCATCTAACAGTACCGAAGAAAACCTTGTGGAATCTTCTTAGACACTACAAAGTACCTGGGAGGATCATCAGCACTATATAGGAAATTACATAGTGGGCTACAATGCGAAGTCCTGCTCAGAAACAGGCCACAGATGTTTTCTGAGTGGAAACCACTGCAAGAAAGGCTGCTTACTCACTACTTTTCTTTTCATGGTTGACTACATTACGAAGACCATATCACTGGAAAATCCCGACTATGGTGGAAATTTTGAACGCAAACGGATGACTTTGACTATATTCTATCCCACACATAGTAACAAATATGGATAAAGACCCCCAAGTGCCCTGGAATGGTCAAGAGTGGGGAGTCAGAGCTCCTCGAAATACCATACGTATACAACAACTGTCAGGGAAGTTTTACTCACTACCTTCTCGTGGTAGCGATGCTGTTTACGAAATTCAGAGGACGAAAAGCGAATGTCTGGAGCTTTAACTGAGTTGGTGTACACAGAGAGTCTAACTAGGGGAGTTGGAAAACCCTGATTCCAAACCATTGGTACATATGGGCTCCACGATCCTAAGGAAACAAAAGGCGTATAAACCTTTTGTTGGTTAGCGGTAACTATGGGACTTCATCTTCTAAGGCTGCTCCACCGCCATGTAGATTAGACCTCTATATCAAAGGCTCAGCGAGTGACCTCAAAAGAAAACCACCTGCTTCAGTTTAGACGCTCGGGCATTACACCAGCCCTCAAATAAATCGAATGACAGTGTGGTGCATGTACATCTGGTGTCTCCTTGTATCAATTTTTATATGTGTAAATAAATAAGAAAAAAACAATACAGGTAGAGACTGCCACGTAATACGCATGCCCAACCACCGGCTACCACGAAGCGCAATACTGACTAGCGTTGGAGACGGACGGAAGAACGTTGGGGGCGGTCAAACCAAAACATGGCATCAGTCCTTGAAGTCACTAACGTCTGGTCTAAGACATGTTGGTAGATGCAGACTACTTGGTTGGAATCCCCGCGACTATCGCAACTAGTGGTTGTGGAGACTGGGTGCTATGGTTCAGAATCGATCACAATGGCGTAGGTATATACACTCTTTGTGTTAATGAGGTATGACAATTTAAACCGTTGCATATGTGCCTGGTCCTACGTTGTAGACGATTGAATGACTAAGTGGTTGGCGGATTCTGGTTGGTGGCCTGCGCTCCACTAGGAATAACAGGCGTAAGTAGCCAAGTAACTAACATGCAATGTAACCAAGATAATTACACTGATTTATATACCGGTCGCATAGGTAGTCCATTTTGTATAAATGTTTCTTAGAGACCTGCGATTGGCAGTATGTGCCCCAAGATGGGAAACAGGCTTAAGTGAAGTGAAGTGGGTGGGACGAATAGTTATTTAGAGGAAAAATTTAGCAATGGCACGTGCCATAAAATCAGAACATCTATCAACATCAAATATGGAGACGTGGTAGACATTAAACTCAGACACAAATTAGTAGGATATCAATACGTTAAAAGCAAAAAGTAAAGGTCAGTGAATGGCCAAGCAATCGATTTCAAGAATCAAACGACCAATAAATTAGTTTTTATTGTTGATACGATGAAAATATTGTATAAAAAGGTTGTATAAAACTCACTGTCATAATAATTATCGTCGTTTTGAAATGTGGCACTAATCAACAAAGGAAATTCACATTTATATCAAATTCTTACTAAAACTGAAGGTTTACTCCATATATATATATATATATATATATATATATATATAAATCTGACGATATATTGTATTTAATTACATTTATAAAATTACCCATTAACATGTACATGAACTAGAATGAGGTAGATATTCATATCATACAAATAACTATTTAAATTATATTGAAGTGAACCAGTTAATTTAGAAGAAAAAGGTAAAACGTTTACCTTGACTGAGCCCCTTTTGAAGAGGCCAAACATATCAGGTCCTGAACTAACAGGTCTTTCTTTACTGGTATGATCACTGGGACCAATACTAGAACGAGGTCGAACCATCCTGGATGTGGGAGGTAAGCTAGCTGCATTGGTTGGAGGTATTTGGGGAGATAAACTGGGGTTAGGTTCTAAGTTAGTCTGAAATAAAATAGGGAAAATTGAAATAAACTTTGTGAGTAGTTGCGGCCAGGATAATTCGTTTGCAAACTATTATGATAAAATCATGAAGACTTATTTTCGTTGACCTAAATTTGTATCCAGTTTTAGGTATAAAACGTTTGCTGTAAGATATGTAAAAGACATGGGGAGTATAAACTAAATGTATGACGTAACTTAATTTAGTTCCTTTAAAATTAGCAACAGTCGAGGCTTCTCTTCATGACTAAATCTTATTTATATTCACTACATGCCCAAAGGCATATAAAGTTAAAACCGAACATAATTTTAAATAAAGCAACAACGACAATATTTTCACAATACAAGAAGTTTAAATGGATCGTGTATTTTATTGTGTGATATTATCTTCTACTAAGTTAGTCGTAAAGAACATGGAACTTGGTACAAAAGTGTCCCAGTCTTGTTTAGCATAGCCTACATCAGCACACAAATAGAAAATTGACAAGATAAAAACCGAAGGGAGTGAAATAATAATACCAACAAGTCAAAACTTAAAGCATGGAAAAATTAGTTAGAAATAGAAAATGTTATTAGTTAAGTCGTATTAAGTTAAACCAAAAGTAGACGGCACATTCAACTGTATCAAGATGAGTGGACAGTTTTGGTTATATGTCAACTGAATTTTAGTTATGCTTAAGTTTGATCACTCCTTGACTAGAGAACAACAACTGAATTTTACTTATTACTTTTAAATAAAGTATTTTGCTTAGTACACAAGTGTAAGAAAGCGGTATGTTATATATATATATATATATATATATATATATATATATATATATATGTCAGAGTCCTAATTTGTCTAGTTTTTCCGTAAAAAGTAAAAGATAATGGTGATAATTAGAAGACAAAAAGAATGAAACTTACTAATTAGATGTAGGTCAGTTCGTTACAATGCAAACCAAGTTATTTGATGATAACGGTAAATAAAAGTTATTTAATCAGACTGAACTAGTCGAAGTCGATTTCAACCAACAACTTAGTTGGAAATAACGGCAACTCATTGACTAGGTACATTTTTTGTTCTTTATTTTTGAGCTGCGTTTTAAGTGAGGTTAGGGATTGTACACGGCTGCCCAAACAAAATGAGATGGAGCGGAGTGTGAACATGAAACCTAGTTATTGAAAGCCAAATCCCTTCATCTCCAAGTCATCGCTTTATTGACCGACAACTTAACACATTACCAACACCTGTCTCTTAGATTGCCCGGTAGTAGTTGGTACGAAAAGAAGAGAAACATATTTCTCCGCTTAGAACTTGCAATTTGAATGAGAAACTGTATGTCAAAATTAACTTCCGTTAATTATTGCTACAAACTCAGCCTGTAGCTCTCTTAGAGTTACTGCCGGTCCCAAGCCCGGGTAAAGGACGAGGTTTGGACATGAAGTGGGCAACCCTATTCTATAGAAAACGTCCTTGCTAAAAAAAGACCACAAGGTTAAATAAATTCAACCATTTAAACTCTGCCCTTCGATTTGAAGAATTACGATGCCATGATGAAAGCCGAGATTCTTCGGGAGTCACGAGGCCAATGCCCCTTCTAACAACCAGAACAACATTTAATATAGGTACATGGGACGTTTAGAGAATATGGGAGACCGGGAAGACCAGTCAAATAGCCACGGAAATCAGGAGACACAACTCGGTGATCCTCGGAATATGTGAAACTCATTGAAACCAAGATGGACAGCAAAGGTTAGATACGAGAAAGATACTGCTGTACTCCGGTCACAAATAAGAAACTGCTCCACACAGGTGGCGAGGTGATCTTATTTTGTCCAAAGAAGCGCGAAATGAACTTATAGAATGGAAATCTAATGGATCCAGAATCATCAAAGCATCATTCAAAACAAAGAAGGAGGATATCACGATGAATCTTATGCACCCATCAATGATGGCAATGACGACAACAAAAATCAATTCTACTCGACGCTGCAATCAATCATACCGAAGTGTCCAAGAAAGGATTTCACCATACTGATGGGAAACCTAAACGCAAAATTTGGAATGGACAACAACGGTTATGAAGATATCATGGGACAACATGGACTAGGAGAAAGGAACGAAAATGGCGAGAAATTCGCAAATTTATGTGCATTCAACAAATTGGTTATAGGCGGCACAAACGCATACACAAAGCTACACGGGTCTTACAGGACCACTACACAGAGAACCAGATAGATCATATTTGCATCAGTAAAAAATTCACAAGGTCAATAGAAGACGTGAGAACCAGGAGAGGAACTGAAATAGCTTCAGATCACCACCTGGTTGTGTCCAAGAGGAAACTGAAGGTAAAGAAACACTTGACGACCGGAGAAACAGTAGTACAAAGGTCCAATACAGCCTTCCTAAGCTGTAACAAAAAGAAATATCAGACAACTATACGGCACAATGAAGAAACTGACAGGAAAATATTATAAACCAGAGAGACCGTCCAAGGACAAAGAAGGCAAGCCGGTCACTGAGATTCAAGAGCAGAGGACCGGATGAGTAGAACACCTCGAGGAAAGCTTGAATAGACCAGTTCCAATGAATTCACCTGATATCGAAGCAGCACATACAGAACTTCCCATAGATGCTACTCCACCAACGATCGAAGAAATCAGGATGACCGTCAAATAAATCATCAATATCATCCGAAATTCATACGACAGACTACAGTGCGAAGTCGTTCATGGAGGACAGCTAACAGATGCATTCCAAGTGAGGACCGGAGTCAGACAAGGCTGATTACTCCCCCCTTCCTCTTTCTTCTGGTGATCGACTGGATTATGAAGACCTCGACATCGGAGGGAAAGCATGGAATACAATGGACGGCTCGGATCCAATCAGATTTGGACTTTACAGATGACCTGGACCTTCTATCTCGTACACGCGAACAAATGCAGACAACCAGTGAATCAGAAGCCTCTGTATCAGTAGGCATCAACATACACAAAAGTAAAAGCAAGATCCTCAAATACAACACGGAGAACACCAATCCAATCACACATGATGGAGACTCTGCAACACAGAAAAATTCACGTACCTGGTCAGCATCATTGATTAACATGGAGGATCAGATACAAACGTAAAGGTGAGGTAAGGACAGCATTCCTACAGTTGAAGAACATATAGGACTCAAAACAACTGTCAACTAATATCAAAGTCAGAATCTTCAGTACGAACGTCGAGACAGTCCTACTTTACGGAGCTAAAACTTGGAGAACTACCACAACCATCATCAAAAAAGTGCAAATATTTCTAAACAATTGTCTACACAAGATACTCCATGTCTGTTGACTGGATACCGACAGTAAACCAACTTGCAGATGAAGAGGAAATTAGGAAAAGACGTTGGAAGTGGATAGGACATACATTGAGGAAATAATCAAACTGCATCACGAGTTAAGCGCTAACTTGGGATTCTGAAGGAAAACGGTAAAGAGGAAGGACGAAGAACACACTACGTCGGAAATTAGACGCAGATATGAAAAGGACCAATAGCAACTGAAAAGGGCTACCCAAGACAGGGTTGGATATTGAGTGCTGATGGTCGGCCTATGCTCCTTCACGAGGGGGAACAGGAGTAAGTAACTACTGCTACAAATAACCTTCCGCCTCATAAATCGAGACTGTAATTGTAGTATAACTGATGAAAAACGCCTTACAATGACCAGACAGTAACAGAGAAAAAAGAAAATGTCATTTTGGTGCCTTGAGTTATTAGGGTGTTAGCGATCAATTATGAACAACTTTCATTGAAAAACTGATGAATCTCGTCATGGTACGCAGATAACCTATTCCTGTTTGACGAAGATGTTGATTAAATAATTTCCTGAAACCCTTGAGTAACGTAAAAGAGAATGTTTGGGATTTGTCTATAAGTGAAGTGTGTAAGTCTACTTTAGGACTGGTCTACATCAACGCCTAAAATGATGACAAGAAGTGAAGCAGCTGAGAACGTTTACCAACTCTCTTATCCTGAAAGAAGGATACACATCTGATGGCGTAGCAGACTGCTATGTAAATCTGTGGTTATGAACCATGGTCAATGAAAGCAGATGACATGCACAGACTGAATGTATTTAATCACAGATGTCTTCGAAGCATCGCTTATGTATAAGAACAACTAAGTAATCTATTCTGACGTCAGACGTGGGATGACCAGGTTATAAATCTGTATTGAGTGAGGTACATAAGACATGTGTTATGCATACCTAACCACTGCCTACCTCAGTCCAAAATGCTGACTAAGAAAGTACTAAGTATTAAAAAAGCGGGGGACTGTTAAATCAAGATATAGCATCAATCACTGACTATTCAACTGAACCGTTTCAGCAGTCTTAAACTACCTAGTTGGGTCGCGCATGATAACCGCGACCAGCAGTTGGAGACGCTGAATTACATCGCTTAGAATCGATCATAGGAGAACTACTTCATTTAATTCTTTTCTTTCCTTGAATCTGGAGTTGCGATATACCGTAATATATGTTTCCTTTTCGGGCTGTTTTTGTAGTGTTTTAATTTCATCGATATCACGATTTTTTTTAGTCCTACAGTACTCATCTTGTTAAACTCATTTTGTTGTATTGATCTCTTTTAATAACTCGGACTGACGCGCATTTCTTCCAAACTATGTTCTGATTATAAATGACTGGATAAACAAAATCCATACATATGTTTTTATCCAACTCCTATAGGATAGCTTAATCAATATACGATTATTATAACTACAAGTGAACATAAATTTACTTGTAGTTTAGTGAATCTATCCTAATAATATAAGACACACGTAACAGGTCAAAACAAAAATGTCAAATTACCACAAATTATTCACAGTATAATTCACCCACTCATTATTACCAAGCATAAGAAAACGAACTAAGGTATTTTAACCAGGATAAGTTTATAAAAATTATTATTTATTGCACTGTGTTTTACAGCACAATAAACTATTTTGTTACCTAAATTTATGACC